GATTTGCAAAGTTTTAGTGAGTATCATTATTTCCGTGGCGGCGCTCTGCCTGATTGACAGGCAGTGTATTACACACAGACAGATGAGCACTAATAGCTAATTGACTGCTCATTCATGTCCTGAACACAATGTTCTGTGAAGAGGGGAGGGACAGGATAATAGCAACTATACATCCAACAGTGAAAGTGCATGTGCTTATCGATTGTGTGTATGTTTCACTTCTTTGTGTAAGAACGTCCGATGGTTTTAAACAGGCTCCTGGAGAGTGTGGTTAAAAGCCATCGCTGAGTACATCCTACACCCGCCCCGATATACGGAAGGTTTAATGAACCAATGTTTAAAATATTCATCCTGCGTTTGAGCACAAGTGACTGTTACTGTACGTGATGTTGCACTCAGTCGGTGGAGAACTCTCTTTAGTACAAAGCTTTAATTTGTCACTGCATAATTTAAGTAAAGTGCCTTCATTATGAGATTCCTCACAGGGTTGCTGAGCACAGAAGGAATAAAAATGAGCTTTATTCATGAATTTGTTGTTGCGATGGTGTAAACAAGCCAGCAAAGAGACGGGACGGCTGCCGCCTGGACGTCACTGCGGAGGCAGTTTTCAGAGGCTGCGTGATCACATTTCCCAAAGCCGAATTGAACTAGTGGGTCATTGCGTTGTGTCAGGAAGAGAGGAAAGACGGTGTGTTGATGACATCTATTCATGCTTCATTGGTCTCTTTAGTCTGATGAACAGAACCTCAATGTCGGATCTTCTTCCCGCTCCAACTTCTACACAAAACACTCGACTACAGTTTACAAAACGAAGTTGGCTCAGTTTGCCATAACTTTAAACTGGCAGCTCTGACTCTCAAAACACAAGGGATCATTTTTTTTAAACAAATGTTGCAAAATACATCAGTAAAAAAATGAATAAATAATTAAAAAAAGTTAATGGAGCAGAAGAAGAAGAGGACTGAATGAATATCGTTTGTGGTATATTAACTTGTTCAACTGACTTCTTCATTTTGATTTGAACATCACTAGCGCAACACAGGTGTACTTAGATAAGATATTCAGGCTAAAAAATAATTCAAGAAAGCTCTTTTGAACAGCATCAAAGCATCTTTTATGAACATATTCATGTGCAAATCACCTGCAGCAAATTAAACTTCTGAAACACCTCCAATCTGTAATATTCAGACATAACACCATGTTTCATGTATGTATGCCAAGTTATTTTCCATCAAAATCACAAAAACACCTTGCAGAAACAGGTTATTCCTTAGAAAATTGGGAATGAAGGACATGAAGCACGAAGTCCTATTTCATAGACTGCTATTACACATAAATCCCCTGGCTCTTACACTCCCCCCCCCCCCCCCCCTCTTTGTTCCTTTCCATTTCCTCTCACTATATGCCACAGACAGTCAGTGCCCACAGCTGGACATCAGGTCTCAAATTAAAACCACACACCACCGCCATTCCCGCCCATATGAAAGAGACATTCAAAAAGGAGGCAGAGACATTGCAGGAAAAAATGTGCTTGACAGCTACTGTTGCTATTAATAGTAACTAATAGTTATTAAATAATCAGCTGTCCTTAAACGATATAAATAAACCCTTTTTGGGGGGGAGAATTGTGTCAATGGTTTAGCTGTGTGGGATCGACCTCTACGTAGTGAGTAGTGGATACTGATGTGTGATGCAGCACGAATGCGACTTCGGACACAGCCTGCGCCTCTCTCTTTCTACGAAAAACACACGCAGCCTTTTGTGAGTGACAACCTGTCGGAAGCCTGACTGCCTCATTTTTCTGACAGATGACAATGCATCTCAGATCCTCTCAAAGTGCTCCCAAGTCCTCAAGGCCGCGGAAGAACACATCAACAGAAGATCAAAAGTGCTGAGCGCAATGTCAGGTTCACCAGACCGGAGATATTCCAACGAGAAGGAGACCTTTCTGAGTCTTTAAGAGATTTTCTATTCAAAGTGTGAAAAGTCCAACATTTACAGTGATATTAAAGTCTTATTTGTACATGTTTCCGCTGTGCTCTGACGTCCTCTCAATGGCACAAACCTGGAAAATGTGATTTATGTTTGTGGCACGTGTGAGCCCTGTGTCTGTGTGTGGGGGCGGAATTGTAAAGACTAAGTACAGTAGAATCTTTGATTTAAAGTGCAGTGATATCCATGAAATCAACAACTCAGAACGAGAGACTGGAGCGTAATCACTAGCTTTGTGTGTTTGCGCGTGATGATTTCAGCCCAGGGATTCTTACCAAAAATACTTTCTCAACCCCTGATACCAATTTGCTGTGCAGAGCTTAGCCGAGGTTCTCTCTTATGTTCCCGGGGTTTGAATAAAGTCAGTGTGTCAAAAATAAACCAGACTGTAAGTAGAATGTAGTAAACGCATAATGTTTGATTTTTTTTCATTGAGAAAAAAAAGAACAAATATGCTTTTAGACAAAACATGTTACTCTCAAGCAACAACAAAACTTTCTCTCCAACCATTTTCTCACACAAATGTTTGTTTCGTAAAGGCTCTCTAGTCGGAAAAAAAAGATCTTCACGTACTCATATGACACAAATCAGGTCTTTTATTTTAGAACAGGGGGATTGTAAAGCATAACGCAAATATAATACTGTGCGCCATGTATAGTTGATGTGACTGTGGTGGACAGGAAGCCAATTGTTGGGTGAGAGAAGTGTGCCTGTGAGGCAGGTCAGCTGCATGCTGGACTCAAAGCTCGCTGGTTAAATTGGCCGCAGGCAAACATTGACCACCTCATTTTTGGTGAATCAATATCACACGCAACAGTCAGGCTGAGATAAACTGCGTTAGGATGTATAAATAGAACAAGTAATTGTGCTGTGTGTCTACATCTGCAGTTTATGGAAACAGATTCAGCGTGTTTAACATGAATCATCTACAAGCAAATAGATGACAGATCAAAGACAATAGTGAAATCAATAAAAGGGTGATGGTATTTTATTTGTGTAAGACATCTTTTATTCATACTTATTGAGAAAATCTTTCTTTACTGGTACTCCGGGTGACGGGGGCGACGGTGGCTCATGGAGTAGAGAGGATGAGCCGGGAACCGCAAGGTTGGCGGTTGGAACCCCGGCTGCTCCATGTCCCATGTCGAAGTGTCCCTGAGCGAGACACCTGACCCCTAACTGCTCCTAAATGACTAGTAATGCAATGCAACGTTGGACATGTTGTCAGCTGGAGAACAGCTCCCCTCCTGGCAGTACGTACTTGGTGTATCGCTCAACTACAAGCGCAACAGAACAGCAAGCAGAGCAAAATCCAAAAGGTTTTTCTTTTGTGTTACGTAAGTTAGAAAAGATATTTTGAAGTATGATTTGTCTTGAATTAATTTGCATCTTATTCACTTATGTTTGCATTTTGTAATAACATTTCTGGTATTATCACACTGACTAATTAAAGACTAAAACAGTTTTATATTTGTTGAGAGCACCAAGCCGAAGTTCTTTCAACACGTCTCTGTATCTCTCCTGATACCATTTCATCTTTTTCTATAGTAAGCCTGAATTTTCTGTTGTGTTTTTAATCTTTCCTTTTAATCATTTGCAGCTGTTGTTGATTCCTGGCTTGTTTTTGTGTGTGTTTGTTTACCTTAAGAAGGACCAGAATTGATGCTTCGCGGCTGACTGACTCCCATCATTAGGTTGGAGCTCGATCCATCACTGCCCCAAACTGTCGCCTTGCTGTCTTTTCGGCTTGTTAAGAGAACGGATGGGGAATTCTCTCTCATTTGTCAATAAATACATTAGAGCTTATTGCAGTCTACCCTGAGTCTTGGCTCATCTTTTTCCTAACTCTGTGTTGCACGGTTCAAACTCCAATATCACTCTAAATCCCAGCGACAACTCCACAGTAAACGACAGCACAGAAAAAGATAAGAACACATCTGTTTTTTTCCATTTTGAAAAGCTCTTGAATCCATACCCTTGTTATTTAAACTCTTTATGACAGTGAACACAGCAATAAATGAAAATCCATATGTTCATTAAACCGGCAAGCTCATTTTCTGTTTGAATAACCCTACACCTTGTTTTGTGTGAGGAACATCGATTGAATGAAAACCGGCATGTGAATGGCACTTAAAGAGATGACAAGTGTTTAGACTGAGCTCATTCTAATTTCACACCATCATTGGGAATCACTCCGGCAACACATTGTCGGGATCCCCAATACACCAAGGAAACATTGCTGTGTCTGAACACCAGAAACTCCAGTTTTGTAAATGGACACATTTTTTAAAGAGTAAAACAAAGAGTGGTGAAATTGCTTATTAACAGAGTTGGTCAAAGGGGAGGATGCATATTAGGGAATACTGCTTATTGTGCTATTGTCATTACGCAGTGGATTATCGAAGACAATGTTTACAGTCATAGTGGCGCTTAAAATCAGACGTGAAACCTCAAAATATGTTACACTATGCATCATTTCTTTAAACAATATCCCAAGTGACTGTAATGAGATGGGAAAGAAATACCAGTACTGTAAAAATCCACTGTACATACGCAGACGCCTATTTATTCTAGCAATACACAAATATCCATCTGTGTACACAGGGCATTGTTTTATTATATTTACCAGTCAATAAATACATTACTATATATAGAAAAGTTATGACATATATAGTTATCACTACAATCCTGTAAATTATACATTAATCATTTTATCTGCTATTGTTATTTTTTTCTGTAGAAACTATGGAAGTTGAATGAATGTACTTTGTTTGTTTGTTTACGGTGTTCAATTGAATTTTTTTGTTAGCAGTATTACGTTTTCTATGGGATTCTTAGGCTTAATTACTTAATGATAATAATAATAATATATTTGTTTTTATTTTTCAGGACAAGCAAACTTGCCAAATAAAACCTAATTATAGGTCTTTTACTGTCAAACAAGAGCATAATATTGCAACTCTGTCTTTGGTTATTGCGCATTTCTGCACATTACCAGCGCAGAGTGACGCTACCGAATATTTACCTTTGACCCCGTTGCATGATGAAGCTCAGCCAATCGCTTGGCTCGTTGTTGAGAGGTATTCAAGTTTCTAGGAGGTTGATACCCTCTCGTCAACATGGTGAGTACAACGATTCAAAAGAATGTATTAATAACACTAAAACAAAAGTAAATAATTTTAGTTATGAAACGTGTACCTATTTGGTGTTTGTCTAAGGACCATCTATTTGTTGGAATAATGCTACAATATTGTTGCAAGTCCTATAACACCACAGGTTAGCATGCCGTGTTAGCTTAGCGCTGAGCTATGGTAGCGCCACACGCATACTGTCATGGTTCCGACTATGTCCTGGAACTGATACTTTTTATAAAATAAAGCTAGAGACCATTCAGCTCCCGTTAACTTCGACTGTGCATAAAATTGGAAAACACGTCTAATTGTCTTCGCACATTTAAACTATAAATCAAAGCTGATAAAAGTTTAGTTTAGCTAGCCGATTAAGTTAGTTGGCCAACTAGCTAACATTAAGAGCTCACGTTAGCAATTGGTAAACCATTATTCTTCACCAGGCTTTAGCCAGAGCCTATAGTCATTCATTTCGAACAGCATTTTACACGGTAACAGCTAACATAGTTAGCATAACTCAGATTTAAACGTGAGCTTTTTGATAAAGCGTTTAACTTAGACAAACAAAGGAAACTTGCTTTTGGACAATCATCCAGACACAACTAACGTCAGCGTGTATTTAACGTTAGTTAAGTTGATAACCTGGTTAACGTTAGCCGGTTAACGTTAATGCATCCACGTTATCGTCTAAGGTTAATTAAATATAGGTTAACGTGATTTGGGTTGCTAACCCATTAAGTAAACTTCAAATCAATCAATTCTTTTTTAACATTTCCATTGGACCTCGACGAGTTAGGTTAATCAGACTCGTGCACATAAGTTGTGACTTGCTAGTTAACGTTAGGGATCTAATTTAAAGCTGTAAAACGAATGTAACTTTGGTTAACAATGTCAGAGATTGTGTATTAATCTCTTGTCTTCTAGGACTATATATGTATACTTAGGACACGGATTAGTACAAGCAGAATAAGAATTGGGCTCAAACTGAATGTAACGTTATCTCTTCTTAAAGAGTTTACGATAGTTTGCATCCTTAACACTATATTATCCCACTGCCTCCTGTTGTTAAGTCTCCTTCAATGTCACCTAATAAACCCTGTGTTACTACTCCTCTAGCAGTACTATCCCAAAATAGAAGTTCTGCCCCCCTCCACCCAGTAATTGTGTGATCCAGGTCTTTTCTCTTATACATATTTTCTAAAGCTTACAAACATGTGCTCCACTATCTGTCTTTCACGACACGGACCACCAACTGTTGGTTTGTTTCCCAGATATTGTTGAGTTTTTTGACTGCTTACTGCCTCTCATACTTCTCACCAGTCTTGGGTTTAAGTGAAGGCGTCATACTTAACATGTTAACATTCTTGTGTAGATAATTGCGTTCTCCCAACAGTGTTGGCAAAGATTGGGTTTGTTTTCCTCCACTTTTATTTACCCGGTGTGTTCTTAGAAGAAAATACGATGTCCTGTTGTCCTTTTCAAATCAAAAATGGCCGGCAGGAGGCCCTTTATCGTCTCAGGTGCTCAGAAGCTGCCAAAACAGTTAAAGAAAAGAGATCTCGCTCTGAACCGATCAAATGTACAATCGGGATTCCACCCTAAATTCTTATTCTGCTCTTACTTAAGTGTTGCCTCGCAGACTGAACAGCAATTCCAACTTGTTTTAGTGCATGCTAATACAGTGCTTTATTAAATCACCATTGGGGTCATATTCTTGACATTCTGTCGAAACTACTTAGGAGCGTTGTTTGAATTTGCCTGATGGGCATCTTTGGGGCTGTAGTTTTGTGCTGTTGAATTGTTCTGCTTTATTCTTAGAGATGTTCTCCTATGTTGTTCATGACAGTCTTCATCGGACGCCAATAATGGCCCGAGCCAAGCGCCACCTTATCCAGGTGTTCTGCCCTCAGCGATACCTCCCCAATTTGTAAGTCAGTGACAGATATGTTTATAACAATTAGGTTCTCACCTCTTGTTGCCAGTCGTCCTACCGGGTTAAAGTTAGAGTGGTCAATGTTAAGGTCTTTATTAATGTAACTCTAATCGAATGCATCCTTCTTTTTCTCCCGATTAATTCATCCAGATGGGACCACCAGGAATACCGCCTCACTTCCCTCCCATTGGAATGCCCCCTATGGGGCAGAGACCGCCCAGCATGACTCCGCTGCCTCCCGGTATAATTCCCCCAGGCATAATGCCACCGATGGGGGCCCCGCCAATGGGACAGGTGAGCCTGGCAGGAAGCTCGTAGGCTGATGTGTAATTTATTGCAGTTGTTAGTTCCTTGGGCTCGGTAGCTTGTGTTGCTGCTCCTCCTCTCACATCAGCAGGCAGACTGCTCCTGATTCAAACACGGGTGTACCGCAGTGCAACACCCAAAGCAGATAAGTCAGGGCCAGGTGGCAGATGTTATTCCTTAAGTATAGAATCCACTGCACTGCAGAATGTCTTTTTGTAAATCACGACTCTGTCGCAAACAAGTGAATTGATGGTACGTTCAGTACGAGTGATTTCTCTGGTCATTGGTTTTGTAAGGAGTTATATATCCAACAGCGGCACCATCACCAAGAAATGGACATTATGCACCAATAATCAGACAAAGAAACCTCCACGTTGTCAAATGTATGTGAAAAATGACCACACTATAGCTCATGATTTTTCGTATGCAATGAGGGACGATTAGTTGACGTCAGACAATTTGGTTTACCGTAAAATAAAATGGCAACTTTTAAAACCTGTCCAATCATCTGGCTTATTATTATGTTGTGTTAGATATTAATCAATTTTTGTTTTACAATGTCAATGCTCTGAGATCTCAAATGACTTAGATGAGCACTACATTATTATGACTAGTGGAGCCAGATATGAACAAACCTTTCTTCAACTCCATCATGTCTTCATCAGAAGATGCCACTTAACTTTCTGCATCTTTTTGAACCTCCCATCACAGCCATGTTCAGAGGTGTCGTGTTTTCAGATTTTTCCATCTGTCCTATTTTCATGATTGCAATATCCAAAGACTGCTTGGAGGGTATTTGGTGCGAAATTCCACTTTCAACCAAGGTTGTAAATAGACGTCTATTTGTCTTCTGACAACTCAAGTAATATTTAACAGTACACGTTCATTTTAACTTTTCACACCTGAGTAACCTGATGGCAGGAGCTGCCATGCAAGGGGCCGCCTGCCCAACATCTGTCTAACCATTCGGACTCTATACCGGGTGACGTGTCATGCACAAGGCCGACCTGCTGTAACACTGAGCCACAGTAAATAGATTAGAACTCAATGGTCAAAGTTTCTGCCGATTATGACAGCTGTGCTCAAATATTTAACAGGACAAAATTATGAAGTGAAGACGTTTTGGAAAAAGGGAGGCATACCACCGCAACAGTGTTTTATTATCTAGTTTTTTTTTAGCTATCTTTTAAATAAGAAATGAGTCGCGTTATCAGGCATATGGGTTCCTTTCATGCTTATGAATAAGTGTGATGTTTGAAGTTCTTTGTTCAAGGTGCCAGCAACACCAGCCTACAAATGTGACAATGGGCTGCAGTGTGGTGTGTTTCTGCTTCACAGATGCGTTGGCATCACACCATTAAATACGCACAGCCAACCCTGTTCAACTGTCACCCTCCCCTCCCTCCCCGAGTAGCAAGCAGCCTTTCACACAGACACCAACAGCAAGTCTCACACTGTGTCGTAATACGTCTTCCTGCACTGGGTGGTATGAAAATGCCAAATGAATATTTCATGATGCTTCTTTTATTAGATGCCAGGCATGATGCCACCTATGATGCCAGCGATGATGATGCCTCCTCACATTCCAGCTGCGTCTGTGCAGCCAACGGGGCCGGTAACTCTCCGTCACTGCTCTGTTTTAACACTTCTTAATATTCACTGCAATCTCTGAAATCCCAAGCGGATCGTTTGTGCTGCCAAGCAACACCGTCGGTCGTGAATAGTTGTCATTCACAAAAAGATCTGTACATTTTTAATCACGTATTGGAACAGCTGAAAATGGTAATTATACAACATGTTCCTTATTGTCACTGTTTTGTTTTGGCTTCATCTCAGCTGCAATCATAATGATACACATTTTGGTCATTTCCTTAATACTGAGAAATAATAAATAATGATACAAATGAGTAAAATTTGTATTGTATTGGTGTATTGACTGACTGACTAGTCTGTCTTAAATAAAAATATTGTGCTTTTCCTCAGCCTGGTGTTGACCCCTCAGGTAAGATCCTTAATTGGTCACCATTCTCACAAATCCTTTTCTTGCGTGTTTTGCATTGAATATAAATAAAGTAAATAAAATAAATTATGTGACTGATTGTTGTGTTTATCTTCACAGTTGCTGCACCTGGAACAGCTGTAAGTGTAGTATTATTTTTTCATCCTTTTTAATTTGCTATAATTACAAGTTTACAACAATTTAGTGTTCTTATGAATAGTTCCAAACTATGGTTTTCAGTCGCCTCAACAAACTGAACGTTTGATTTTTCCCTTTGTCCTTGCAGAGTGCCACAAATGGATCTCCACAGGACGACCAACCAAAGAAGGTCTGCTCACATTCAAAATGCAAAGATATCAACTATGATATCATACCATACAAATATTTACTTCTTTTTTGTTGTTGCCTTTTTTCGTTTCTGCACCAGAAGTCCCTGTGGACAGAACACAAGTCATTGGATGGGAAGACCTATTTCTACAACACAGAGACCAAGCAGTCCACATGGGAGAAACCAGAGGATCTCAAATCTCCTGCAGAGGTACAAACGCTTTCATGACGTGTCGTAAATATAGCAGCGACAGCTATTTGCTACCTACAGACGTAGTGGAGTTATGTCTGCCAGAGCGGAGAATGATGTCATACTCGCTCCGTGTCGCTGCAATCAGAGCTTCTCTGTGCTCGGTTTGCATAGTGAGTCACAGCATGTGTGCTCATATGTTGGGTACCAGCGACCCACGACGTTGTTGACATTCATCAACAACCTTAATGACGGCAGAGAACTACTACTACTAAGTTTGTACGTTTTAAACAGTTCATTGCGTTATTTATTGTAAGCGACAATATAATCAACAGCAAGTAGGAAAGAGGATTGATCGTGTAGAGGAGTCCCCATTTCCACTTCCGAAAAACGTTTCTCACCCGTCGCGACACCTTCCAAGCGAGCGAGAAATTGGGCCTCCATCAAAGTTTCAGCTCAAAATGGCGCGCTGTGTAACGCTTCTTCCCTCAGAATCAGGACAGGAGTTACGGAAACGGTCTGTGTGTATTTGTTTTAAAGTAAAAAAAGAGAAGAAGCAGCAGCAGCTAGCCTACCACTTTTATTTATGTAACAAGCTGAGTTTTTATTCACGTTATCCTTCATTGAGAAATAACCTTCCTTTTGTTTTACCACTTTTTAGCAAATGCTGTCCAAATGCCCTTGGAAGGAGTACAAGTCCGACACGGGGAAGCCTTATTATTACAACTCTCAGACTAAGGAGTCTAGATGGACGAAACCCAAAGAGCTGGAGGATCTGGAAGGTAAAGAGCGGCTCTCTGATGATGTCACACCTGTTTGAACGGATGTGGCAGCTTGATAAATGTCCGGTTAGACTTACATGCGTGAGAGGGCTTTGGGGATGACAACAGAATGGAGTATGTTATGGCTCGTGCAGTTCATTTGTCTATGCTGTTTTCTTATTAGCAACATGTTAAGAAATGAAAACTAGTTCCCTAAAAGCTATCATGTTCTTTCTATTTCAGCTATGATCAAAGCAGAGGAGAATGGGTAAGAGCCTCCTATTTACACTCAGTTCCTGCAGCGGTTATTGAAAGTTACTCCTAATACGATTACATCCCGTTTTGTATTGAAAGTTTTACATTTTTCATTTCGTTGTCCTTTATGCTCCGGTCAGCGACGTTGTCCTGCTGTTCTTCCCATGTGGTTTAACCCCTCATGGTGTGATTTCAGGACGGAGGCGATGGCTCCTGGAACCGCGGCAGCTCCCGCAATGCAAGCAGACAACACTGCCGCTATGGTAACCGTGATGGAGGCGGAGATTGTGGCCGCCGTCTCGGAGGAACACCTGTCTCAGGCGGCCGTGCATCACGTAGCTGAGATCAAGACTGTGGACGCACCTGTGGCTTCCTCCGAGAGCTCGGTCGCCACAGAGGCCGCAGCCAGGTAAACAACTGTGTCTGACGTCTAGGCGGACAGTGTCTCCGGTACTCAGGCGCACGTCGTCTTCATCACGCCGGGACGAGAATAGAGTCCTTATGACCCGGGGTTTTATGTACACGGCACCCTTTCAACGTAATGTATTCATGGATGAGGTCTATTTTTGCGTCTCATAAATTGGTTTAATGTTCACATCTCCCGACGTGATGAATGTACGATGTCCTAAGTGCTTCATGCAAACACAGTTAAGTTAATGCGTTGCCGCTTCCTTTGCCCTCAGTATTGAAGTCACAAAAGAAGAAAGGCCAGAACTTCAGAAGAAGACGTACAAGTGGAACACAAAAGAGGAGGCCAAGCAGGCCTTCAAAGAGCTGCTGAAGGAGAAGGTGAGTCGGGCTGTCGAACAGGGTCAACATGTAGATGAACTTGGGCCACACGTTGGGGGAGAGTTTGGAGGCTGAGCTGTGTGTCAGCTTGTGGTGCCTGTTTGCATTTTGACATTTATCCAGTGAAATTATCCCCGAAGCATCAGCAAGCTTGCCTGGACAGGAATTATTAGCTATTAATTATTTAGAATTCATTATGCATGTATCTGCTACAAAGACTGTCGGGCTGATCGCGTCATTTCATGTCTTCAATGCAAAACCGCATCAAAGTGACTGTTTGTCATCTGTTATTGGCTTTTTTAGAATTTAGTCAAATATGCAGCTGTGTACTTGGCGAGTTTGGCCGTGGTGGGTTATGTACACACACACACAACATCTATGCCACGTGTCTTCTTCCTACGTTGAGAACTGGTCACCGAAGGTTGGGGGGATTTTTGTGTAGCAATTAACCATTAGCTCTATGGAGGGAAAAAAAAAGAGTAAAATTGAGTAGATTTTCAATTATTTAAAACCTGCTTTCTGTTTAATAACTAACCACCAAAAAAGCTGGTTTATATTAACGATGATCCAGCCACGTTATTATTAAATAGGGTGCTTTTGTAAATATATTGTATGTGTATGTATTGTAATAAGTCTGTCCTAATGCCTGCCGTGTTAGCCTTTGCATGGAGATCTGGATTTAATCCCTGTCCCTCCCTTTGAGACCCCAGGAGCCCTCGGCTCAGTCTGTGAGCTTCACCTCTGGTTGCCGTGGATGCGTTGTCGCCTGGCTCCACCCACCTCGAATGCTGCTATATTTAGGCTCTTTTTAATGTTGTGCTTAAAGCGCTCCTCTGAGATTGCTTGCCAGTTCTCGCAAGATCTTAATGGCGCTGTCTTTGTGATTAGCTTCATTGTATCAAAGGCTGTCTGTGATTTAAGACGGTGAGAAAAAGTGACATGACTGTTAGTTAGAATGACTGACAATTTACAAGCAGTGGAATCCGTTGATAATGGATGAAGGAGTCGCTCCCTGAGAGAGGCAAGTGGCCGAAAGGGCGCTTACATAAGTCCTCTGCAGCCCCTCTATGAATTATTGTCCCTCGACATCTAGTAGTAATTCAGCAGATGTTTTAGCTCTCAGGAGAGAAAGCAGAATGGCTCATTGTCCCTTTTTTATTCAAAGGCACCGAATCCTGACTTTTTTATTTTATTCTCTGCATTTCAGGGTGTGTCCTCAAACTCTTCCTGGGAGCAGGCTATGAAGATGATTATTAATGATCCTCGCTACAGGTACGCTTTTCTCCTGGGATTGATCGGTTTATCCTGTTTACAGCAGGGGATGACGATGCCCCTCTGACCTACATTTTACTCTCCCTTGTCAATAAAGTGCCCTTCCCAAACTGAGTGAGAAGAAACAGGCGTTCAATGCCTACAAAGTCCAAACCGAGAAGGAGGAAAAAGAGGAGGCCAGAATTAAATACAAGGAGTCCAAAGAGACCTTTCAGAGGTTCCTGGAGAACCACGAGAAGATGACATCTACCACCAGATACAAGTAAGTGCCCTCAAAGAGGGTTTTTTTTCTATATTGATTTGTGTTTCCCTGTATTGTCAATGTGATTACGCAGATTGGACCGTTGAAAGGTCACCAGTGGTTTTGCACGCCACCATGCAGTCAGAGCACTGGCAGCTTCCTCTTGTGATTAGTTGGTTCTGATGTGCTTGTCTCATCGTGGGTTTGCATGTGTTTGGTTTCTTCCTCCTCTTTTATGTTGAATTTCTCACACACGCATAAATACAGCACAGACGCTGGAAACGACAACTATAAATAACTGCTTTTTGCTATTTGTGTACTTATTCGGCCCCGGCATCGTTAAACCTGTATTAAGGACTCGTGCATTAGGAATCATGCCAACAACATTTCAACTGCTTGAGTTTTGATCCTGGTGTTGCGCGAGCTGCAGTTCAGCAGCCTGCGGCCTTTCTGTGAAAGTCATCGTGACGGACAGATCGGCCGATGACCTTGATAACGAGCCAGTTCCACAGTTCTTCTAGTAGGGGGTTGTTGTGGTGGCAGACTGTAATCTGGGAAGGGGCACCACCGACACTATAACTTGATAGATGGACCGGCTGATTATGTGTGTGTCTCCTACTTCGCTTAATACAGCTTCAGCTGTACTTTTTATTTACATGTTATTCCTTTCATAATATCTCTGCATCTGTTCATCTGATGACTTGCGCACCGCATCAAAAAACAAATGCGTTTTCTTCCTGTAAAATGCTGCCCTCATGTGGGTTATTGTGTGAAATTAATCGTGTGTGTACTTGCCATCCAGGAAAGCAGAACAGATGTTTAATGAGCTTGAGGTGTGGAGCTGCGTGCCAGAGAGAGACCGGCTGGAGATCTATGAGGATGTTTTGTTCTACCTCGCCAAGAAAGAGAAGGCGAGGCTTTGTTCCACATCATGATAACGTAGAATCACTTTCTGTCCGTCATCATGAAGGACGTTCCCTTTAAGACAAGGGGGCTTTGTGATCACTGACACTATTGACATCCTGCTTTCCTCTTCTCCACAATGCCTCCAGGAGCAAGCCAAGCAGCTGAGAAAGAGGAACTGGGAAGCTCTGAAGAACATTTTGGACAACATGGCCAACGTCACGTACCGCACCACCTGGTCCGAGGCCCAGCAGTACCTGCTGGACAACCCCACCTTCGCAGAGGACGAGGAGCTGCAAAGTACGAGAGATTGTTATTTCTCTAATTAGTTTGGAGCTAATCGTGGTTGTAGGTGCCGTTCAGTGGGTCCTCAGTTCTCCCTGTTGACACGTGTTGTTTGCTGCTGACAGACATGGACAAAGAGGATGCCCTCATATGTTTTGAGGAGCACATCCGAGCTCTGGAGAAGGAGGAGGAGGAGGAGAAACAGAAGACTCTTCTCAGGGAGAGGAGACGACAGCGCAAGAACCGCGAGGCCTTCCAGGTGAGCCTCAACATGAGCATCTCGGAACACGCTTACTTCACACGTTACATTAGTAAAACCCTTGAATCGCTGTGCTGAACTGTTGTGCTGAAGGGTTTTCTTTGTGTCCTCAGAAATTTCTGGACGAGCTCCACGACCACGGCCAGCTGCACTCCATGTCTGCCTGGATGGAGATGTACCCGACCCTGAGCTCCGACATCCGCTTCGCCAACATGCTGGGCCAGCCGGGTAAGACAGCAGGCGGCGGCACACGTGAATCCACGGCCACATGAGCTCAATGATCTGCAGCACGTGGCTGTGATATGCAGCGCGTGACACATTTGAACATGCACACATGTATTTAACAAAACATTTAGCATGCCGATTTCTTTCTTCTCTAATAATGGTGATGTTTTTGTTTTGGCTGTGTAGTTTTGCATGCGTTTTGTGCATAACACATGTTTCCTTATCCCTTCTGTTGTGCAGGTTCAACTCCCCTTGATCTCTTCAAATTCTATGTGGAGGACTTGAAGGCCCGCTATCATGATGAAAAGAGGATCATCAAAGATATTCTTAAGGTACGTGTGGCTCTGGTGTACTTATACCTGGATTAGTGTCACAGGGAAAAGCCCTCGCTTTCATTAAGCGGGTTTGTTGTGATGTTTTATTATTTTTCAGTCACACAACTTGTTAATCTGCTTCCTTTGTGTCCCGCTAGGACAAAGGCTTTCTGGTGGAAATCAACACAAGCTTTGATGACTTTGGATCCGTCATCAGCTCCGACAAGAGAGCCACCACACTGGATGCCGGAAACATAAAGCTCGCATTCAACAGTGTGAGTTTCCCCACCAGCGTTTCTCAAACCCTTCGCAGAACCCAGCGGCTGTTAAGTATTTAACAGCTTAACGTTTGCCGGTTTAAGAACTTCAAATCAATGTTGTTATCGTAGCTAATTAGGGTTTGTATCGTTACAGTTGATCCGTCTTTCGATTTTAGGCGGTTTTGATTGTTTATTAACGCATTTCCCAACCTATTTGTGTGCAGCTGCTGGAGAAGGCCGAGGCCAGAGAGAGAGAGCGAGAGAAGGAGGAGGCCAGGAAAATGAAACGAAAAGAAGCCGCCTTTAAGAACATGCTGAAGCTGGCGACGCCCCCGCTGGAGCCCGAGACCACATGGGAGGGGGTACGTCTTTTATGCATAAGGATATTTTCACAGCTTCAAAGCACCGACTATTTCCTACTAACAGCCCTCGCTATTTTACTCGAATTATTTCTAAGAGCTTTTCTGTTTTTGTTGTGCTCGTTGTTTTGTGACGATTTCAGATCCGAGAGAGATTCTTAAAAGAATCTGCCTTTGAAGATGTGACTCTGGAGTCGGAGAGGAAAAGGATATTCAAAGACTTCATGCATGTCTTGGAGGTGAGTCCGCCAGCACCGTGAGAATGGGCAGAAGTGACCAGAAGGTTTACCACCGCGGTCTTTTTTTTTTTTTTTAACAGCACGAATGCCAACATCATCACTCCAAGACAAAGAAGCACTCCAAGAAGTCCAAGAAGCACCACAGGAAACGCTCCCGCTCCCGCTCGGTCAGTAGTCCTCGCTGCTATGAGACACCTTCTGCCCCCGCTGTCAATACTTCATATCACGCCTCGTTAATCTCCCAATTACTCCACTTCTCTGTTTTGACAGGGCTCAGAGTCTGAGGACGAGGAGTACCACAAGAAGAAAAAGAGGTCACAATCTAAATCTCCCTCCGAGCGCTCGTCCAGCGGAGAATCCGGTGAGTGGGCGTCGACGCTTTGCTCGTGTATTTGTCATCTCACGGAACAAGTGCAGCACTATTGACGTTTATTGACTTTTTTTTTTTTGCCCGAAACCAGAGAGAAGCTATAAAAAATCCAAGAAGCACAAGAAGAAGGGCAAGAAGAGGCGTCACAAGTCTGTAAGTATACCGGAAGTCCCCCCCCCCCCTCAAATCCATGCAATGTGTTTACACACACGCACGTGTAATCTGGATGTACATGTATGTGAGCTGATGGGGGTTATGATCGTAGGCGTCGCCGGAATCCGACAATGAGAAGAAGGGAAGAGAGCGCGATGGAAAGCGGGAAAAGGACCTGGAGAAAGACAAAGAGAATGACAAGTCTCGGGGGAAATCTCGCCCAGACTCTAAACAGAAGTCTCCTAAAAGAAAAGCTCCAAAAGAGGAGGTTGGTTTTCTTCATCACTGCAGAAATTAGATTGGAATCATTTCAGCCGGTAATGGTCATGGTTGCCTGATGTTGAGGGAGCTTGAACTAGTAAAAGTTACCAGTGACTACTCCTCATTTAGAGGTTGTCTTGTTATTTTTAGTTACAGCAGTTGTGTTTAGTTCCTGGTAGTTCATGCGATGCTGAGTGTCTGTGTTGTGGTCAGGGTGGCTGGGACACATCAGGCAGCGAGCTGAGTGAAGGAGAGCTGGAGAAAAGGAGAAGGACTTTACTGGAACAGCTGGATGCACCTTGATGATCACACTTCTCCCGTCCTTTAACTGTATTCGTACACTTCTAGAGACATGCATTCCCCTCCGAGCTGGGCGCCCCCTCCACCCCCCACCCTGCAGACTGTGTGACGTAACACTGCTCTCTGGTATTCATGGGAATATGCTGAGCTTACACACTTATTTGGTAACTACTTTGAGATCAGGAAACTGATCAGCTGATCAACCGTTTAAATATCAGGTTGTCCTTTTGGTTGCTTTTGTTAGTATTTTTTTAGTTGATTGTAGCTGTACATGTTTTCCATTGCCAATCATTTTTATACTCAATTACGATGACACCTTCAACGCCACACTGAGCGTCTTAAACCTGGATAATTAGACAATTCGCAGCATCTTTCATGATCTCTGGGCATGTTGGATTTGGTCAAACTTAACTATTCGCTAATTATCCAAAAAGGTTTTAATTTGAGCATCTGTTTAAATTGATATTTACCTTTTGTGAAATGTAATAAAATACTGTTTCAATGGATAATGTGTTTATTTGGATACTTCATGAGATCAATATGGAGGCAATTGTTCTTATATGTAGTCTGCAAACATTCCACTGATAGTTAATAGATGAGCAGCTACTAGGACGACTTGTTAGTGGGGGAATCCTCGTGATCTTTATTAAACAAACTGCAGTAAAGTCCTGAAAAGGTGATTTGCATCATTGGATTTATTGCCAAAGAAAGACTCCTGTATGTTCAATGTAAATAGTTTATTTCATCGTTTAAAAATCTCATATCACCTAATCTTTTAAAATAAAGCTTGTTATTTTGTAATAGGCAGACTGCCTAAATTCGGTGAAAGTACAAAAAAGACATGCCATTATTATCCAGTTATACAAGTGTTACTACTGTAGACTGAAGTCGAGCGAGTAGAACAGCTGCACACCACTAGGCCACAAAACTAGCTCATCTCAGGTCAGATAACAGAAGCTAGTTTGATTAAACACAGTAGGGAAGATCTGACATTAAATCTGTTCAAATGTACAATTCAAAATCGGTTGCTTGTTTTTGTAGCTGGCTTTGATGCATCTGTGAACCCCCCCACATGACAGACATACAATATAGGACATGATTTAACATTACTGAAGATTCTGGCTGCATTTGGCATAATTAAATACATAACAAAAACTATAAGTTAAAATAACATTCAAGTTGTGTACCACAAGGCAATGAAAACTTTTTTTGAACAATATGTACAATATTAACCATCTGGTAATGTGAATAAAGAAGAAAAAAAACATTGTAGCAAAATATCTGTACATTTAGGAAACTTTTTTTTTCTTGTACTTTGATTTGCCATGTTTTTAATGTCCATGGACACGTTAGATTAAAAGATGCGTTAAAATGAATCCTCTCAGTGGTTAAATACTATACATTAAAATTACAATAAAGTGAGTAGACGCAGTCGCCCGGAGTGTAATCAATCAGTAAAAAGAATGAGAGATGAAATGCAAAGATTGAGTTGATCCAGTTTGACAGTGAGAACCATTTAGTAGGGTTCTTACTTTTGTGCAGTTTCTACGTTTGGTCGAAATTCTTTTTCATGTCGCTGTACAGGCTCGCTTGGACTGCTGTGCTGCTACAGAAATGCAACAGTTTAAATGGACGGTAAAGTTTTACTTCTATAGATCAACAGCTACAGGCTTGATCCATGAGCTGAAGTAAAGATGCTGAAAGAAGTCAGCATGGAGATAATTCACATTGGCTTTCCATTTCTTTTTTTTGTTGATCCCTCAGCGATACACTTACTTTAGTACAAATTACCCTCCATACGCCTGCTCATCAGCCCTTTTATAGAAAAACAATTCTCGAGATGGTTTGGTGTGTTTTTTGTAGTACGAGGAATGGAAAGAAGCACCGGAATGTACCAAGATACCACAGTGTCAAACCAACACTAAAAGATGTCGCTTTTGTAACAGCTAAAGGGAACGCGTCCCATACATTCTACATTATGTTCCCAAGGAAGCATCTCGTTCACGTGGCTCTTAAGGCCACCGCAAGTCCAGTTTTACATGTTTAAAATTGGGTAACAAAAATAAAATTAAAAAAAAACATCAGACAAACAGGAGACGGCGTGAAATCAGCCCACAAAAATAAGTTCAGGCACTTGGCTGGTCTAAGGTTCCCGGATCCACCTTTCAGACACTTAAAATGCAGTCCCACACATGTCTGCGTCCTTCATAGTGAAAAGCTGCTGCTGTAGCACAGACATGAAGCTACATGTATTCTTATGTATTATATATATATATTTACATATATATCATCCTGTATGTTTGCTACGCTGGTCATCTTTCACGTATCAGCCTTCGCTCTGCATCGACCCTCCCGTCTCTCTCTCTCTCATATCCTCCCCATCTTTAAACCCCCCCCATCGGCACATGCACTGATCCCTCTTCACACAACCACTTCGCCGCTCGCCATCGGCCGCAGGTTCTGATCATCAAAGCGTCTCCTGACGCTCCTCCGCACGCCGTCTGCTCGCCTGTACGGCTGATTCCTCAAATCTGTGAGGGTAGAATGGCGCGGATGGGGGGGGGGCAGGAGGGTAAAGAACAATCTGTCAGTGGTCTTGTGGCGGCGTCTTGACGTGCCCACGTGCTCAGAGTGCTGGCAGCACGTCTCTCAAAGCAGCATGAGTTCTACCCAGAGAAAAGGCCCTGCAGGTCAGCTGTCTCACCACAGAAACAGGCAACAGGGTTTTCACTTCTACGTAGGAAAACTTAGATGGATCTTGTGAAAGCAAGATGCGCCATCCTAATAAAATGGGTGAATTATCTATTTTGTATTGTCAAGACATTCAAATGTGTTGTTATGGAGGGGATAGAATGAGAGAGATGAAGGAAATTACAGTCAAAACAGAAGAGATAATAAAGAGATGCTTGCCAGGTTTGGGACACATCCACCATTACAGGTGTGCTACTGGAGGACTTCTTACCCTCGAGTGGACATTGGGAAATTTAGTAATATTATTCTTCTTTAGGGCTAGACGAAGAGAAGACAAAATGGAGGTTAAAAATGGAAGAGGAGGAGGCCGACATATTCACACCAGCTTTGCTGAGAGCGCTGAGAGGGCACTGCGAGAGCAAAGCAAAGTGGCGGCAGGCTGCAGGGGCGGAAAAGGCCGCAGGAGGGGAAAGGCTTTGAGAGGGGACAGAGCCGGAGGACGTTAACTAGTTCATCTGGCAGGGAGGCGGATCAAAGCGTCTGGCGGTTTTCTTTCTCTTTTTTTTCTGCGTTCTAAACTCATTGTGCTTTGGAGAGCGGCTACCAGCAGGACAGAAGAAGAGCCCGTTTCACACCTCAGAGCGATCGTGGACAGAAATAAACAAACGTGGTTGCAGGACACGGCAGGATTGTTTACATTTACATACATACAACAGCGTCGTCACCAAAAATCTACCAAAGCATGCATGCAGCCAGCACCAAGGACGGGCGGGAACCAGGCGAAACGGCCTCGCTGCATGTTAGTAGCACACACACACACACACACACACACACACACACACACACACACACACACGCACACAGAGGATGCAACTGCAAAGAAGCACCGCTGCGATCAGAGAGATTGTCCAGGTGGAGACGTCATGCAGAATATTAGCGAGCCTCCCACACCACAGAGAGTCATTTGACCTTTCGGTCTGCAGCCTAACGGGGAGAGCAGGGATGCATTCTGGGAAAACGTTAGGAAGGAAGGAAGCAAGCAATCAGCATGCGAGAAGCTGTTCCAGCAGCAGTAATGACATGTGATAACAAACACACAAACATTCGTTTTTTTCATTAGACATTAAACAAATAAAAGCAAGTGATAATGCCACAGCCCCTAACACAATAATGATGATGATGATAATGATGATGACTAAAGCTTATATATGTATATTCTACATACACATTGCATGAAATAACCATTCAATTTGAATGTAATCAGTGATAAAGTGATAAGTATTCGACTCATTATTTGTCTTCAATCTGTGACCACTAGATGGCAGCAGGCAGCTTAGCGTTTCTACTCAAGGCCTCGATGAGAGAACACACACTCCGTTCCACTTTCCCTCTGCTGTCACTGCAGATACTAGTGTGACCTCGCAGACAGCCCCCTCTGTGACATTATGGTTTGCCATGGCTGATAACGTGATGATAATAGATGAGGTGGGGGGGGGGGGGTCACACTTCATGCAGGTGGGCAGAGAAAACCGTTACACCCACATGGTCGTACTCAGGAGAGAGAACACACACACACACACATATACACACAGGTGTGTTTGTAAAAACCTTTTGATCGGCACTGTGAACACAAACACGGGTCTGAGAGTGTGACGGTTAAAACAGGTGTGAAGACTCATGCGGGGGGGGGGGGGGGGGGGGGGGTGGGAGAGAGAGACACGTAAAAGGAGAGAATGTTTTGTTCCAGCAACCTTAGCGAGGAGGGACAGTTCTATGAGCTTAGTAATGGTACTCCTCATTGAGGGCCGACTCGCAGAAGAACCGAGAGCCGCGCTTGGCTGTGCGGGCGGTAAAGGGCACTGTCTTCAGCACTGCATCGAGGACAACAAGGACAACAGCCAGGACAAGACAGGACAAAGACAGTTTAAGAAAAAGCAGACTCCTACAGGGTTTTAGCGCTAAGCAAATGTCTCACAACAGCATCGGGCGGGGGGGGGGGGGGGGGACTTTTTTTATGGTGGCTGTTGATCTAAAAATGTTACTTAATAATAAAGCTCAATGTTTGAAGTGTGTCATGTAATATCTAAATGTTAATACTAATACGTTAATTGGTAAGTAGCATTTAATTTACCCAAACAGAACAAAATCTATGACAATGAATTGTATTAATGTATCACAGTTTGCATGTAAAACAAATGTAAAAGTATTTACATTACACTTACATCAGCTGATATCATTTTATTAAAATATGAATATATCTTACTGGTGTAAATGTTCTAGACTTTGCAGTGGATTGCAGAGAGCGCTGAACCAGCCAACATTGTTTCTATGCTATGTGTTTATGGCTTATCAAATGATTGAACATATAAAGTCCAACTACACTTAAGTAGAGAACATCAGAAAACGACTTAAATTCCATAACTGCCCACGGCAGGTTTATCCAACTTAAGATGAATTTATTCCATTATACTGAATGATTTTCCTATGAGCTAGTCCCGACCCGGCCCCGTCTACCTACAGATGGCGTAGAAAAGCAACGACAAAGCAGGTAAGACTAGCGATGATCATCAGACCCATTTGGAGCTGAATGTCATTGGGTTAGCTGCATGTTTGTGATCATCAGGTTAAACGCCTTTAGTTATCAAATATCTGACAGCAGAATAAAAATGTAAAAAAGCCAAAGTCATTGTGTTAGTTGTTTTAGCTTCCCTCTGTTAATGACTGTGTAGCATCAGAAAGGACCTTCGTGCAGAGCGCCCTGCATTGTTTGCCTGTCTGTGTGTGGCGAGGGGCCTCGGCGGGGCCCGGGTGGGGTTACCTGTGATGATGTCCTCTATCGCTCCGTCTTTGCCTTCGTAGACGTGGCGGCTGTCTTTCACCTGCTTCTTCCTGAGCTCCTGGATCAACTCTTGCTGCTGCCGCTTGTTTTTATGAGACGGAGACTGAGGCACAAATACACACACACACACACACACACAGACACACACACACACACACACACACGCAGACCACGTTTAACATGCATTAATAAGTCATATTCTCAGTCGTGCTTCCAGTATGATCTACAAAGGTTTCTCCCAACCACAATTCCCTTTAGCTAAAATATACACATTACTTCACTCTGCAGGTTTGTGTACGTGTGAGTTAAGTGAACCATTTAAGAAGTGTAACCGCTGATCTTGAGTCGATGTGATGTGGCTCAGCGGGGGATTCAGACTAGAGCACCAGATATAACTACACCCAGCAGGCAGTCAGTGCTCAATTAGTCTTGTGCTCAGCAATCTGGAGGAAGGGAGGAGGAAGCAGAAAGAGGAGGAAGTGGTCTTCCTGATCCCCTGTTACCACCCGCAATAGAAAGGAGGAGGGGGTGTGGTGGGGGGGGGCGGAGGGGGGGGGTAGAAAGAGTTGAAAAGAAGGTGACTTACCTTCTGGGCCTCCTCCATCATGGGCCTCCTGTTCCAGGGAGTTCTCCATCAAAAACTGCTCCTGTCTCTTTTTGTGCTCATTGTCCTCTTCTGCTTGCTGAGGATGGTACATAAACATATCAAACTATTAAGCAGCAAGCTGTGCTGTTAACATGATATAAGAAGCTCTCATTTTAAATGCATCTCAACGGAGTCATTATCATGGTTTGGAGTAAGTAAGAAGCAGCTGGAAACAGTCAAGAAGCTGTGGGGAGGGAAGGGATCACATGATGTGACGGATTTAGTTTGTTACTGCTGCTTGTAGTCCGTCATGCTTAAAACGTACTGTTTTATTTGTAAGATACTTCTCAGCTTTGGAATAGAAGAGAATCCTGTGCTGCAGTGAGAACACCAGAGGGCGTATCCATGTCTACTCACATCCTCTCAAAATGGACATACACACAAAGTCTCTTGTATCCCTCCAGATGTCATGTTGCTGTGACTTTCGCCCCCCCCCCATCCCCTCTTGCCCGACTAGTTTTGTGTGATTGTGTGCGATAAGATTCTCTGACTCACCCTGTAGGCCTTAACAAACCGCACAAACACAGGGAAGAAGACGGAGGGCGGCGTTGTTTTGGAGTTCTCTCCGAAGAACTTCACTGCCTCGTCGAAGGCATCCTTTCAAACACAGACGGGGGACTTAGTTGGAGAAACACTCTTCATTTTTTCCTTCATTTTAAACCGCGTCGCAACAACAGGCTGCATAAAACCAGACGAGGCGCTCGGGATACCTGTGCGATCTTGGCGTCATCCTGCAGCTTCTTCAGCTTGCTCTCGTTGTGTGCGATGAAGTCTTTGAGCATGGTGTTGTGGCCGTGCATGCTGTACTCTCTTTTGGTCAGCTCCATGCCTCTCTGCAGCTCCTTCACGTCCAGCAGGACGTTCTCCAGCGACACTGTGAACACCCGGCGCACGCATGAGTGACAGGAGCGCACGCGCGACGCGCCGAAAGTGGGAAAAGTCAGACAGGAGCAACACTCGTGCGCTCACCTGCTGCAGCTTTCTCCACATAGTGCAGCTCATTGTAGAAGAGAGAAACCTGGGAGTATTTCTCCTTCACCACGTTGGCGATGTAGTGTAACAACGTCATCTTGCGGTCCGTCGACTTGGTATCGAGGAGCTGCGGAGAAGGTAAAACACAAAACTTCAGAAAACCTTTGTCTGGAAATAATAAAGTGCTTCGTAAAAGTCAGCGAGGAGACCAATTACCAGGTCTAAGCTTTGCAGCTTGAAGCCGTACACCGCTCCTCTTTTACTGCTGTTCATGTAGTTTCCAAGTGCCAAGATAATCTGCAAAGCAGGAATAGAACAAGACTGTGTCAGACTGACCATGCATTCATTTGACGTTCAACATTCGATTAGGAATAAATCCGCCACCTCTAGAATCTTCTTGAGCTTCTGAGACGACTTGATTGACACGGATGCTGCGATGACTGCATGAATTTGCTGCGGGGCAAACAAAGAGGATGAGAAGACGCTGAATCCAGTGAACCACTGTCGCTTTCTACAGTCACAGCGTCCCCATGTGGATTCCCCAGCCCTCACCGGTGTGAGCATCTGCACGCTCTCGGAGAAGTTGCCGATGAAGGCCATGATGGTCATCTTCTGCATGAGCCGCTCGATCTTACTGAACTGCATCATGAAGCGGTCCTCGTCTGTCAGGCTCTCCAGTGGTTTGCGCTCCTTCTCGAACTGCCGCATGACTTTGATCTCATTTTCCGTGGGCTGGAAGCGCATCAGACACTCCACGAAGTCCACCGGCAGAGTTCGCAGGTCGAAGCTGAAAGTTGATGTGACGGAGGAAGGTAGGGATGCGTTACACACTTTGAAAGCAGGTCCAAAACAGGAATCATTTTGATACTTTTTATATATCAATGTGATAAAACTTATAATCCAAGACATTCATCATGCAGTACATTTAAAGGAACAGTTCTACGTGCATAGAAAACATGCAGGAACATCAAAGTGTTGGACTCTTATTTTGAGACTCACATCTGAATGGCCTTGGAGATCTCCTCAGGAGTCTTGCCCACTTTCCTCAGTGTGATGGCCATGTTCTTTGCTCTGTTGGAGTCCAGCAGCGTCACCTTGTTGGGCATCTTTTGGATGACCTTCTGCTTGCTCGAGATGAGGTCGATAGCTGGGCCCTGAGCTTTCGTCTTGAACATCTCCTCAAACTCATCCACGTTTAGGTCCTTGAAGGTGCAGAAAAGGAATCGATGTGTGTTCCATCACTGTTGAAATGAGGCGGAAGGTGAAGTGAACGATGGCTGGACCGGGGAAGACTCTTACCTCGAGGATCCTCTCGTCATCAATCTCGTTGAAGACTGTGCCGTTGATCTGGTTCGGTTTCAGGGCCACCCAGTTGAAGACGGGCATCCGGAACTTTGTCTTGATGGGTTTCTTGATCTTAACAGCTTGAAGGGGAAGCAGAAGAGTTAGCAACACGTCCCTTTCCACCGTGAGAGGACGAACGGCCACGTTCACACAAACGGGTGAAAGGGAATACAGGAGTCTCTGACCATCACGGATATGACTGTGCTATCTGCTCCAAGCTGTTAAACTTTAAAGTTCACAAAAAGCACACAAACAAGAGTGAAGCCCGCTCGCCTTCGGCAAGAGAAACAAGGCCAAAGTTTGTACGTGCTTTACAGTAAATGGGGCACACAAGGAGGATTTCCTTTCTGGCCTGCCAACACACTTCATTAGCCAGATTACGGCTATTTGCAGCCACCTGGGCAGATTTACCGGAGCTGAGCATCAAGGTGGCAGCTGATTCAGTCACAGAGACGAGGTGTCAGCAGGGACAGACAGATGAGGCCGTCACGAGAGGCCAAACAGCACAAAGCCTCCCACTCTCTATCCTCTGCCTGCAACAGCAGCTCACTGTCTCCCAGCATGCAACACTGAGATATGGCAATACTTCATTCGACGTGCACACACCGACACACACATACAAGACGAGTGTACAGCACAGTGCGGTAAATTGTGAATAATATTGAAACGTGGTATTTTCTCTGTTGTTTAAGATCATCCGAATGTTGAAGTCTCACTGTGAGAGCTAAAATAACAGAATCCTCGAAGCCACAGTAAACTGTTTTTTTGATTCTGTGTTTACTCATTTGCTGCCAGAAAAGAAAATGTCTTTGAGAAAAATGAAACAATTATGAACTACTTCCAGAAGGCTTGAATTACACAAATTGATTGAAATTATTGTTGTTTTTTTCAATTGGGATTCAGAGAATGAAAATACCATTTTCCAAATGTGTGGCGTTTGTGATAGAAAAGGGAACATTGAAGGGAAAACACACCAAACACGACAAGCAGAACCTACAGAAAAGTTTGATGGGTCCCTCTGGTTGGCAGAAAAGAAACAATCCAGAGACAAATCGTTAAGAAGTTGGCAGAGTTAGTGACAGAGCGTACACATGCACATCTCAAACACACGAGGAGAGCGGGCGTTTAATATGACGCTGTTGTGACACGTCTCTACATCTCAAAAATGCAGCTGCTTCCCAGTGAAAGTCCTCCTCGCTACGCTTCCATCACGCTCCCAGCAACTGGAAAACTTTTACCGTGAAGCAGCTGCAAGACGGGCGTCCAGTTGGGAATGATGTAACAACTTTTGACAAAAAAGTTGGAGCAACCTACGTACATAGATAGTTGTGCGGCTTCCATGAGGAGTTGCTGTCATATAACTCGGAAACGGAAACACGATCCCCATCAGATGACCTTACCTGCTAACCCGGAGTTCATGATGACTGTGGGCGTCCCACAGCCGGGCAGCGGCGGCGCTACAGGAGGCAGATGTGCCGAGAGATGCGAGGTTAGCCCTGGAGGGGGAGGCGGCGGCGGAGGGGAGGCGGTGGAGGCGGGGGAGCTGCAGCTGCCGGAGTCACTGACGAATGTCCATTTGACACTAGGAGACAGGAAAGATGCCTCATTGTTATCATTGTGTACTACGCAACATAACAAACTGTGCACATTCCCTCCCGTTTCCTCTCTTTTTATGATTAACAGTTAAATGCCGATGAACTGCACGATTATTAAACCTACGTGTGCCGTTCACTGGCAGCGGGGGGGCTGGAGGGGGCGGTGGCGGAGTGTCAGCGGCGACTCCCACGTGATTCGGGGTGACAGCTGCGACGTTTCCGCCCGTCAGCGCACCTGGCAAGCCCCCCACGCCGCAGGAGGGCGATGTCAGGATGGAGATGTCTCCGTCCCCCTTCTTGTGGATCTTGATGGTGCCCTGTTTCTCCAGTTCGTGGATCTTTTTCTCCAGGTTGCTCTGTCGCTGGATGGCCTCGTCCTTCTCCTTCAGCACCTGCCGCAGTGTGTGTACCTGCGAGCTGGTGTCTTTGTAGACTTCCTGTGGCGACGAGGTGAGTTGAGAGTCGTTAGTAAAGCGTTGTAGAAGGATTAATATTTGTGGATTTATGGCGTGAGAGTGGAAACAGTTTGCAGAAGACTTTGAGTGCTTCAATGAATACTTGAAGGACAAATGTGAATATCAGAGTTGGAGTCTAACCCTAATCGATTCAAGGTCCTTGTTCCTTTGCATCAGCTGCTTCTCAAGCTCCACGATCTTGGACATGGCCTCGTTCTCCGTATCCTGCAGCTTCTCTGTCATCTACAAGGACAATAGCGGGGAGGTAAAGGGGCAACATGGTGACTCAACATGATGCAGTGATGTATATATACATTAGATAAAATTAAATCTGCATTGCAGCAAATAATGAAAGCTTAAAAGTTACAGAATGTGTGTCCACATTCAGTCCATATATAGTGTTCCATCCCAGTCTTGGGTGATCAGTGGAGATCATAGCAAATCCCACACTGACATCACAAGAAAAAGCAGTTGAGGGCACTCACGTGCGACATGTTCTCCTCCAGCTCCTCCACGCGCTCCAGGGCAGCGTTTTTGGTCTCGGCATCCTCCAGTAGGGCTCCCACGTCAAACACGTTATCCAAGTAGGCCTGGATCTGAACCTGCAGCTTATCGCTCTCTGTATGTTTTAGCTTCTGGAAAAAAGGCAAAGAGAAATGCAGTGATTAAAAAAAGCGAGGTAGACAGGCGGTGAGAGGGAGGAGACATTTACTTCTTCAGTTCACACGCATGAGGCCGACATCTCTGACCCAAAGGCCAGCATTGATCTCACCTGCGCAGTGAGCCGGGAGACAAGGACTCACTGAACTGACAGATTTTTTTTCCCCTCAAGGAACGGAGAATCCATTATCGACTGCGTTTCTATGGTTGCTGTCTCGGGGGTGCCATAAACCAGACCTGTGTTCTAAATTGAGCTCTACATTCAGGGTTCGGTCAGTCTGGGAATTTCTCCTGCAGCGGCACGTCTGTACTCACGTCTAAGTAGTCGTCCAGACACAGCTTGGTGAAGTCGTACTGCAGGTGAACTCGGAAGTTCATGTCCTCCACCGAGTGCACGACTATGTTTATGAACTGCATGCAGGCCACCTGAGGAATAAGAGAGAAACAGTGAACGAGCATCTGGAATGTTTTCAAAACCCCGCATATAATGTACTCTGCGCGTGCCCGCTGACAACACATAAATAGGTCTTAATGAAGTCATTCGCAGCAGGTTTCAGGTTCAGCCTGGTATTCCTATGAAATGGCTTCATGCTCACATCTAATTCCTTTTAATAGGGCTTGCACTGCTGTATAAATCCTCATTACTGCGCTTGCTCTGCTGGCAGAGTGGCTTATCTGGTAGATTAAGTGTGGATCTGAAAAAACAAATGAACAAGATCAGCTCGTTCAACTCCATCGGCAGCCTCATGGGAGCCTGTGTAAACACATCAGCGGCTGTGTCAAGGGGGGTGGAGGGGTGTCTCCTCTCAGTATCTTATGTACACACTTCTCACCCTGACACGGGCTTAATGAAGAAGCTCAGTTCTCTCGGTGCGACACTGCAGCTTTGACAAAGCCTGTTTGCTTTAGTGCTGCTGTCAGGCGACGGACCAGCAAGTGACAGAGGTCCTATTGAACCGCTATTGAAACACAGCAGCTGGTGGTTTTCACTCACGTGCACGTGCAGCCTTTGCTTCAGAGCAACGAAAGACACCTAGAGTGACACACGGTGAGAGTGACACGCGTTGAATACTGTCAGCGCCGCCGGCACTCCTTGGTCTTAAGTACCTTTTATTTTCATCTGTCAGGTAATAAGCACTACTCGACTGGAAATGAACGACTCGGCAAGGGTTCCTTGATAGTTTCATGTGTATAGTGCGTATAATAGTGCGTATCGTTGATCTGGACGCGAAACTAAAATATGTGCATTAGTGTTCAGAATATACAAGATCCATATTTCCTAACCAGCTGAAAAGTGCTAGTTGCTAAACTAACCGCTGCCTCTAATGCAATCATTCTCAAATACTGGATCGGGACCGACAGTCGGGTCTCAGGAGTTTTGATATTATTTTTATTATATCTGCTAAACCCCTATGGGCCACATGAGGGAGCCTGAATGGTTACAGTGTGGATGAATGTAGACATGTAACATTGAATCTCATCTGAAAGTCAAGCGTATATATTGGGTTTGTTTTACTGATGAGAGTCTGTTAACTTCATATAAGTGTATTTATCTGCTGTTGTTTACGGCATTTAACACGCCTAAATGTACATCTCCCTTTCCCTTGTGACTTCAATAGTGATGTCATGTTTGTGTGTGTGTGTGTGTGTGTGTGTGTGTGTGTGTGTGTGTGTGTGTGTGTGTGTGTGTGTGTGTGTGTGTGTGCGCGCGCGCGTGTGAGAACATACCATAAAGTCAATGTTGTTGTCCTCATTCTTGAAATACTCCATTAGCCTCTCAAACCGCTGCGTCTCCAGACACACCTGCAGAACAACAACTTCAAAGTTATTTTATTTTTTGCAGTCGTGACACAGGAAGCAACTGAAAATTGCTGTATTTATTCATTTAAATAAATACCACCAACTAATAATTTACACAAACAAGTGCCTCAAACCCCAAAACTCCAAGCTCGGCGCAAACTTTGGTGCTGCACGTGCACAGTAACACTAGAGATGCTCTTTAGTCGTCACTATTATTAAGAACCCTGCAGAACCCTCCATGCACTGTTCACTGATTATACTGAATATGCATATACATCTATCTGTGCATCTTTGCTTGTGGAGAGAGAAAGAGAGAGAGAGAGCGAGAGATGCTGTGCAGTTCAGACGGTTCATCTGGAGGGCAATGAGGGAGATGGAGCATGATGAAGACTTGAGAAGGAAGCAGAGAGGAAGAGGAGGGGTTCATATCCCAAAAACCTTTGAATCATGTTTTTCGACTCCCAACTTGCAGCCCTTTCATCAAACATGGGACATCAAAGTAACTCAGCAAAAAGTATCTAATGATGCCTTTTCTTCCTTTAAAGAGAAAAACAACTGAAAACTGCGTTCACACGGCAAAGAGATACAGAAATGAGTCCTCAAATGCTTCCAGCAGCCTAAACTATCATGCCACGACTTTTCATCTCATTAAGGAAGCGGCGTCTCCTCCCAAAGCCTTATTCTCCCACTAATGCCGAAGCCGCTGAGAGCAACACTCAATATTTCATTCAGGGGTGTAAATATTGCATTAACTGCAGTCTGACGATTTCTTTTTTGCGGGCCATTTAGTGCCCTGTGAAATGGGGCTGCTGTTGGCGCCTACTCCATCACAAACTACCCTGTTCTTAGGCAGCCAGAATACCTCGCCCAGGCACACAGGGGGCAAAGGCTGACTGGTTATATCAGCTTTTCTTAACATTTCTGAGATCTAGTTAACACGCATGTAACCGTTTTCTCCAGAAGTCAAGTTAGTGCTATTTAGGCTATTTAATGAGTGATCTGCTGACGGAGCTCATGACTAGAGCCAAGTCACAGTTGGAAATTGAACAGTTGAAACGCAAGGACATCTCCTCAGATCCCACTTCCCCTCTCCAGACGGCGCGTACCTCCTTGAAGTTGTCGAACGCAGAGAGAATAATTTCGTGGCCTCCTCTCACAAGACAAACTGCTGCCAGGAGCTCCAAGACTAGAGCTTTAGTTCTGTGAAACGGGGAGGAAATAAATGGTTGTTGGTTACCCGACGACAAGGTATAAAGATCCTACAAACGCTGAAACGGCTGTGTAGTACGGATCTATATGGTGTTTATCACAATTCATATGTTTATAAATATTAATCAAATACTTGAACAAACTTCAAATAACCTCTTTCCCAAGAGGAAAAAAAAGTGCTCAAAGTTGTCATCTTATCCATTGGATTAAAAAGGCAGTAATAAAAAATGAATACTTCAGGCCGCGTGTGTGTGTGCAGGATTTCTCTGCCTGGATGAGACGATATGTGACAGGTGATGCGGAGTGGTTTCACATTCACTTTTGAGCAAATGTTTGAGCCTCTGGGCAAACAGATGAAAACACAGCCCCACTCAGGGGAAGTGAGTCCTTCTGGTCTCAGTGGGCAGTGGAGTGTTCCAGCGGTGACCTGATCCCTCCGCTGGAATGAATGTGTGCCCCTGAGCTACAAAGACACTCACTTTGGATCCGACGGTGCAGGTGCACTGAGGCTAAAGTTGTGCTCTGAATGTTCCATCATGGGTTTCGGTCTTGGTAAGGTACCGCCATTTGTGAGGCTCAAAATTTCTCTTTCAATCTCCTGGGTCTCCTAAAAGCAACTTAAAAATCTGCAGTTTGGGGTTTTAACTTACCTTGGGCTCTTATTGTTGAGACTTAGAGCGATTTCATTCACAGCATGGGGGTGGGACATGACCAAGTTGAAGCCATACTGGGAGATGAAAAACAAACCAGAGAGAGAACGATGGAGACAAATAAGCTAATAGAGAAGAGGAGCATTCCTCTGCATATCAAATAAAACAGAGAGAACTAGCAGTGAAGTGAATTGAATTGGCTTCAGTTAAATAATAAGAGTATGGAGTGCAGAAGGCTGACCTGGTAGTTCATGATGGCACGCAGGCACATGATGCACACATGGACGTCGTCTTTCTTGCAGACCAGTCTGGAGTTTTTCAGAGTTCTCCGGCTCGGCAGAGTGTTGTTGCTAAAAAAGAAATACAGGAAAAAGAATTTAGCGGTAATAGGAGAGTGTTTTACTGAAACGAGTGTTTAGTCTGTGAGTTTTTGAACACAAATAAGTGTGAGCGGATGAATAATAAAACGGATGCCATTTGAGATGGAGCCTCCACCTCCTTCTCATAGCGAGGCTGTTAAACTGCCAAGCCACCATATATACATGATAATCTACAGCCTCGCACGGGCCCGTGGAACTCCCGCTTTGTTTTAATGTTATGTCCTTCACAGAGATATCACTTACAGCCAGCACAATAGAAGCCAGTCATTTGCATGCAGCACAGTGATTGTGCAGCTTTGTGTGGGGGGGGACCTTTTCTCCTTGCGCAGCTCTCACCATACAAAGATAAAAGCTGGTGCAGCAGCATTACGACTCAGGTCAGAGCAAAACACTTTATTTGCAGACTTTTGGCACAAGGTTACCAGTTCTGAGGAGAAATGTGTCTCCAGGCTACTGATAGACACACACACACAAACTAGACACACACAATTTGCATCAGCTCCTGTGCTTAAAGGCGTGACTCCTGTGTGAGTCACAGGCAGGCATCTGTGTGTGTGTGTGTGTGTGTTTGTAAAATGAGATGCGTATCATAGCAGAAATCTCCAAAATGGAGTTGATCGAGGTCTTCTGTACCAGTTAAGGAACATCAAACTCCAGGCGCGGCTCCATAAAGGAGGAAACGAGTAAATACACTCCTTAATCTCAAACCACGGCTGTGATAAGGGATTGCGTAATACAATGAAAGCGCAATACATTGACCTTCTTTGACTGGTCTGATATTACTCAACTTACATAACACAAACTAACTGAATCAAATATGACTCAGAAGAAAACAGGGCATCAGAAACTGGAGTAAGAAAAGAGGTGAGAGGTGCTGTGGATTCTTATCCAGCAGGAGAAAGCTCACAGCCGTTGTCTTTACAAAACACAAAAACAAGCAAAATCCTTCCTAATTTCTCAAAATGGCCCAACCACAAACAACAGAGCATCTTCTAAAAAAACAAACAGCACAGAGCGACATCAAAACACCACAACTATAACTACAGCATAACTATAGGACGAGGGTCTAGCACATGGATTTCTAGCAAACTCCATACCGTCTCATTTGAGAGCACTTTGGACAGCCCAGCGTGCTTGGTGTCCTTCAAGACGGCAGTTTGAAGAAGACACATAAAAAATCACCAGGTTGTATGCAGTTAATGAGCTTCCATTATTCTGATTTAAAGCACAAAGAGCTTCTGTATAATGGAAATTTAAGAATTTATAAAATCACTAAAGCAAATGCTTCATAATCAGTGTCAAACAGCAAAATCGATAGCGTAATGGATCCATGATACAGAAGATGTTTGGGGGCTACCTGAAAGCAGAACACCAACAACAACAGCTCTTGCTTTTTACGAGGCCTTCATCAAAACACGGCAAGCTTCTGCACAGGGAGCCACACAAGCAGCACACAGACAAGAACAATGCGGAGCGGAGAAAAAAACATTTGCTCCGAGGAGAGAATTCAGTCTCCAGCGCTGGAGGGGAGACTGGCAGTACAAATAATTCACATCCCCGACATGGACAGCGGGACAAATAGACTGCGCAGCGCTAGGAGGGAGGTATAAAATACAATGAGGCAGGGGGATTGTGTGTGTGTGGGCTGGGAGGCAGAAGGGATGCAGGGTTAAAGCTGTAGAAAGCTCACTATGAGCGAGCAAAGTCAGAGACCCCAAGACCTGCCTGCTGTCGAAGACGGGCAGACAGAGGAGCAGATGACTACGGAGGGACACCAAGACAGAACAGAGGACGCAGTCAGTAGACACTCTGACCGGTTTCGAAAAACTCTACATGCCGATGATACAAAGGTACAGAAGCAAAGCGAGAATCGGTTATGGCACAATGGAATATCGGCGAATGAGTCGCAAATTAAATTATGTTAATGAGGATGAAAGAAGACCTGGAGGGGAACAGGTAATGGGTGTGGCTCTATGAACAGGACACGCCTTCCATATCTATGATGTGTATGATTTATGGAAATAGAAAAGAGAAAAAAACAATCACAACAATATATATTTTTTTCAAAACAACTTACTAGCTTATCATGCAAGGCTAATATTGAAGAGACGTGTGCCTCCTTAAATCAATAATGCTCTTTGTCTGTAAAGAGTTCAAGCTATTACAGATTAAAAGGCACAGAAATCAGGGCGACTGCTGCACTGAAACATGAAGGGAACGACGGGGCGGATTAGAGAAAGCATGTACACTGAAAAGGATTTGTGCTCCAGAGCAAATATTAGCATGGGTTTGTGAATCACATCCACTGTGCTTACAGATTTGCTCCATAAAAAAGATTGTTCCTTCTGCTGCGTTGTCCGTCACAGGAAAGATTATTGTCAGTCGTGTGTCATAATCATGTGCAAAAACCAGCCGGGCTTCAATCCCACAAATCCACACACAAAAAGGTCTTTGCCTCCTGCCGCCGAAATGGGTCCTAAGCTTTTAAAGTCTTACAGACCTCGTGACTACATAAAAGCATCATATGAAAAGTGTGACTTCTCAAAAATAATCTCAACATACAACCGCAATTGTCCCAGTCTGAACACTACGTGAACAGGGGGAAGAAAATGAACTGAAAGGCAAATTTAGCCGTTGACACGTGGTTAGCAGTGACTCCTGTTAACCGTCAGTGTGAGTGTGGATTTTACCGTATCGTGGAATGTCGGCCAGCGCGTGTGATGCTGTTCCCAGTGATGGAGGAGGGCAGGGTTCCTCCTCCGTGCAGGTCTTCTATAGAACGGCTCCAGGGTTTAGACTTATCCATAACAGCCTCTGGGTCGTTCTCCGCAGACTCCCCATCAAACCTGTTGCGCCATGAAAACAAGAAGCCAGTAGAAGTATTTGTGAACAATAATTAAAAAAAAAAACACATAACTTGCACTTTATTTTTGTTTGTTCTTACTTAGTGACTCAACATGCTAAATCATGAGGAAAATAGGGTCCAGATTAATTATTACCAAAGTTATCTTTAAAGCTGAGTCAACATCCCTTTCAGTATTATAGAGTGCTGGCAGAGTTTAAAATGTGTTCAACTCCAGTGCTGCCGCCAACATTTCTGTTTTGGCGTTTGGACATGATGGATGAAACGTCTCATGTTATTCGGTACTTGGAAAGAGCTGAAAGTTTTGTTGTGATCTATTCACGTTTTTTTAGAATGGTCGTTTTCATGACTTTCATATGTTGCTCAGGTGGGACTGAGGTTAAAAACACTTTTACGACCAACCATCCATTATGTGGACAGACCATAATAACTTATGGGCAAGTGGGGAACGCAAATTAAACATTTTTACTGCGGGGCGCTGTGGCCCAGAACAAGGACCTTGTGACTGACTAATAACCACACCATCAATCTATGAATAGAAGCATATGGCTGGTGGAACACACAGGGCCAATGTGTCAGCAATGGGCCCCGGGTGCTGGCGGTGCTGGTGGTGATGCATCAGCAGCTATGCAGAATAGCAGCATTATGCCAGCTGTCACTTCTGCGTATAACATGTGGTGGTACAGAGAGAAAGAACTGCGAGCGACTTACGTGACGGCATACTGTGCAAATGAAAGATACTCCACCAGCACGTCCAGACCTTTGTTCTCCTCATTTAAGAATTCTCTCACCCACCTGAGGAGAGATGGACAAAGGTGAGTCAGCACACAGACTCTCATCCAAATCAGTGAAAGAGTTTTTTTTAAAAGATGCAAACGTTCAATTATACTTGGATCAGCAGTTAGAAACACAAACAGGTTTTACAACACTTCAATTTCATCAGTCTGAGAACCACAACTAAACATGTTATGATTAACAGAAGAATTTGATATTATTTTGTCTGTTATCTGGAAACAAAGACCAACACATACTTAATAGTTTATGGGCAGCGCTAAACTCAATGTCCTATGTTTTTATCAGCCGACTTGTTGATAATAAGTTTTACATTAACAAAGCCAGCGCATTTCGACAAATTATCAATGCCTCAGAATCAACAATAAAAATATGATAGAAACACAAACCAGGTAAAAATGACATTTGGATATTGTTATTTTTGCATCGTACATAGTGTATAATAATATCCTACGCAGGCTGTGACCGTACCTGACCTTGTTACACATATGTTTTCACATCACTCTCCCTTAAATTTCTCTCTCAGAGTCACACATTTATTTTATCACTTTGAATCGCTCCCCATGTGAGTGCCTCTCACTGGTGATTGCATGAGTATAATGACGCGCGTGTAGGCTTTTGAGTGCCGGTACTGTGTGGATGAAGGTGTGAGGTTAAACTGCTTTAAAAATCCACTAGCTGCTTCTTTATTGGCTCCCCTGTGGTTCGACGGCATGGGCCCCGAGTAAGAGAGCGTCCAGCAAAGAGGTGCCTGGTGGGGGCCGTCCCGTTTTAGAAAGGGCTCGTCGGGCCACATGGTAATCATTACTGCAGGACACTAACTAACAGTCCTCCCATTCATGAGCAACATGTGAGGAGCAGGCAGGCGGGGAGCCGGGGTTATCCTCAGCCGCGCTCACGCGGGGACAATCCACCCATTATACACAGCCGGCATGGTGATATATTCCCCTGTCTCACACCTGAAAAGAAGCAGCAGCTATTCACTGTCTGAGTAGGGTGACATCTTGCTCCCTTGCCCCCCCCTCTATTATCTCAATCTATCTCCCTGTCCCTCTGCTGTTATGGTAATGCTTTGTCTAATCTAGATTAGGTAGATAATTCATGTAATCTAGTTTACCAACATACGGCCTCTATAAGGGATTAATCCATGTAAACAATCAACTGCTTTGGCAGATGGACAAGGTCTCTGGCTGTGACGAGACGCTGTTGTCCGGGAGATGGGATGATTTGAGAGTCTGCAAACGCATGTATGTGTACAAAGAGCTCACCACTCTTTGTTTTTGTTGTGGACGCTAGTTCCACCTAGACCTCGTCCTCCTGGGCCTCAATCAATGCACCGTGCTGAAACCATGCGTGCAGAAGCTGGTCGCATGGAAGGAAGGCGTGTGCTGCTCGGTGGGTAAAGCGGTTAGGTTCATCACCAAGGTTGTTGTTGCTGCAGCTCTTCCTAAACATGTCTCAGGTTACAGCAGCCTCGCGCCTAAATGCGTGGGAATGACCGTCGTCTATGCGATGATTGAAATCGTTGAGGTTTGGACTCAGAATTGAAAATGTGTAGTTAAAAAGGTCAAGTGGACATCACGGTCTTCAACTATCAGGGTCTGTAATCAAAGAGACAGACCCTTTAATCCATAGCCACACTAAACCCTGAGATTGCGTGATGCTCTTTGAGATATTGATCTCTCCCTGGTGATGACTGCACAACACTCAATACGTATCACCGTCAGCAGGCTGAGGCTTGCCATTCCGGGATAACACATGAATGCCTCTGTTGTGCAATCCTGATCTCCTTAGTAACATCTACAATAAGGCCGTCTTTAGGTCAGCACACGGAAACGCCGACGTATCAAGTCGGGCAGCGAGAAAAATGAAAAATTCTTCCACAGGCCGTCCCCATGGTAACCGCTTCAAACAATCAATGGATTCATCTCGTCTCCCGCGCCACAAGGCTTCCTGGGTGATATTGGGCAAGAGCACTGAGAAGAATGGGGGATGGTGGTGGCGGATAGCGTCGACGTCTGCGTCTCCGTGTGGAATGTCGAACTTTTCCCGCTGAATCTACTGTAACACGGTCGGGGACGTTCAACCCGCACCGGGTTCTCGCCGTCGTACAGGGACTCACCCTATGTGATTGGTCCGCAACGAAATTTCCAGTTCTCTCAGGACCTGAGTGGACTCCTGAACTCTCCGTCTGAATTTCTGTGGAAGGAAATAAAGGAGGGGAGGGGGGAGAAGTTAATATTTCATCGTACCAGTTAAACTATAAATCATCAAGTCCGGTCATGTTTTGGTTGAAGAAAAGTTGTGCAACAAATACAGAATAAAGAGTTTGGATTGGGTTGGTTTCTTGAAGATTTTTAAGTGGACCCTCTACTTCTGAAGAAGGCAAGCCGACTCAATGGAAAGTGTGAACATGGAGTAGTTCCCGTTATCTTGTTTGCTCACACGTGTTCTTTATATCGAACAGACGTCCCTCGCGGTAGCACCGCAATCAAATGGAGTGAACTCATTGGTCAGCTGCCAAGTCAGAGCCAGCGGCCACACAAACACATTCTCCGTCCGGTTACCGTGGCTACCGCTGAAAGAGATGCAACGGGTGTGAGCGGCGTGCACGAAGGGTTGGACTGCCAGTAAATCAAAGAGAAAGCGACGGAACATAAGCGCGTTTTTCTTTCATTTGGGCTCCTGATAGGAGGTGATCCTCAAGGCCGAACAAACAAAAGGCCCTTCAGGCTGTTACGCAACCGCAGCAACGAGAGGAGCAACGAGAACGACCAGCGCTGATTTAACAGGAGAGAGGAATCCCGGGTGAGAGGGATTGTGTAATAAATATAAAATGTATAATATAAAAAAAGGGAATTTGAAGATGTCCTCTGGGATTTATGAAAACTAGGAAAGACATGTTTTTTTTATACATTTAACAAACAATTAATTGATGAATTAAATAAATATTTTTTGATTTTGGATTAGGGGTTTTCTGCACATTTTTCCAGCTCCAGTCAGAAGAAGAGGATCCACCCAGAGTTGGAGGACCTGGTCCAGGACCAGATTCCAATTTCCATGACGCGTTTGTCTGAGGGTGGAAGCAGAGCTCAGCCCGGCCTGTTATTAACACATCCACAGGAAAGAAAGCTGTTCCCATCGCTCGGGTCTCTCTCCCTCTGCGCCAGTCTCTCCCTGTCTCCAGTCCGCGGGGTCTTTGGGCTTAGGCGGTGTGTGTTTGGCACGTTGGCCGATGGGAAACAGAGTGTTTTTATTAGGGAGGAGCCCTGTGTGTGTTTGTGTGGAGAGCTGAGCATATTCAGGGGTACCGCGAAGGCTCCCAGAGGCAACCCCTCCTTCTCCACACACTCCACACTTTAAGTACTACCAGCTGCAACACAGAGAGAGCCGGAAGGAAGAGAGGAGCCGACGGTGGGGGGGGGGGGGGTGAGGACGACATGAAGGGAAAGGAAGAAGAGGAGGAGGTGGGGGGGAGCAGTGAAAGGGGAAAGTGAGGGACGAGAGACAGTGTGGACAGGAGGGAGGGGCGGGGAGGGGAGGTTTTCGGGGAGCGCGAGCACGAGGGGGGTCACGCTGGAAACAAATCAATGGCTGATACATTCTCGGGGACCAGTCGGACTGCATTTCTTCCTCCTCGGCTGCTCATTGGCTGGGAGCTGCCCGGAGGAATGCACCGGCGCCTGCCTATGGAAAGCAGAGGCAATGACCTCGAGCTCTCTCACAGCGACACAAAGGTGCAATTGTTTTGAGTTTGAAGAAAAGGGGGATGAAGCAGGAATGTAGAAAGAAGCCCCATAACTCTTGCTTTTCCACGGAGCTCTCTCGCTCGTGCTTCCTTTTTTTGTCTCTCTTGTTCTACGTCCATCTCTGTCTCCCCCTCTAAAACCTCCCCATTATTTAGGCTTCCTCCTCCCTCTCATCTGCCCTTTTCACTTTACTCTGGTGAAATACCTGTTTCCCTGTCTGCTTATAGTCTTAGATCGATGCCAGGAACAGGCAGAGGCAGCAATTCCAGCAGGAGGATTTTTCAAAATACAGAGTCATTCTGAAAACGAGGGGTATACAAAAAGAGGCTTGCGTGTCTCGAAAAAGTCGTCCCAAGTTTAATCTGTTCATATATGTGAACACGTTGAGTGTTTACACCCAGAGAGGTTTAAACTTGCTCAACATCTACCTCCAGAGACTATTTCCTTGAAAAAAACACAAAAAAGTTAGTTGAGACGAAGGAAAACCGGAGGACGAGACGAACATGGGAGTGGCGTCAAACTCCTCTTACCTTCAGAAAGTGAAATGATCCTTTCCAATTATTACCAAATCTCTTACTGAGAGGAAATCTGCAAGAGGGTCTCGTTCCACATACTGACGGCCAACGGATGTCTCCCATGGGGCAGTTGGACATGCCTTGCTCGAAAGCACTTTAGCAGTAAGTGCAGAAGCAGGAAAGAGGAATACTTATATAACGACCCCTGCTGCTTACAAGCCCACGTCTCTAATCTTGGGAAATATGTGGAAACATTTTATCTCTTTGGAAGAGAAAAAGAAGAAGAAGTAATGCACTAATGGTGTGGGAACATAAGTAAAGATACTGAACCCCTGGGGAAGGAAGCCAACTGACACCATTTGAGAACCATCCATAAAGACGCTCTGAATGATATCACACACGGGATAAGCAGCATGACACATTTTTGCATTCTCTTATCAAACCGTAGGAGTAGAAAATGCAAGTCCACAATTCTGTGTGCTGCGATTGGCTGGAGTTCTGTTTGTGTGGCACTGCAGCTCCGCTCGCGCTGCTCTGGCTGGCGTATTGTGATGTAAAATCCTCACTCCAGTCAGCGCCAATTGAATTATTCAGCAATTTGTTGTTTTTCTGGCAGAGCCTCTTGGTTAATTTGTTTATCACCGAGATTGGTCTCCCAGCACTGCTCTCTCGGGCCAAAAAGAAGACTTCACTTGGGCAAGCTCCCTTGCAAGCAGCCGGGGAAACCGATGACCTAAGAACATATTTATCACGTAGCGAAGACACTATCTCGCGGCCGCGATGCAACGTCAGTGCAGGGATGATTAGGAACGGACAGCCTCCGTCGGTGACATCTGTCTCTCCTCTGTCCTCAAGTAACTCATGGTGTGTTTTTCCCTCACACAACGGGCCCCACATGGGGTGGGTCAGGATTCAGTTTCTCAATGACACATCAACTGGGCAGTGGTTCCTCAAAGCCGGGCGTTCCATATAAACAACGGTCTTATTTCTCACTAAGCCACACTGTTGACTGTTAACTTAAGTTCCCAAGCTGTCCGCCCCGAGAAGCCGTGTGTGCGGTCCTCCCCCGGCTGCGAAGGACATCCCGGACAAGCGATAGCGGAGTATCAGCGGGGGAAGGAAAAGCCTCGGCGGTGGAACAGGATGGAGCTCACCTTTCTTGTGACTGCAGGGTCCAGATAACTCCTCAGCTTTTGGAGGTACGCGTGAGGCGGGTTTTTCACTTGGAATCGCTCCTGTCAAAAAACAAGGAGGGGAAAGAAAAAAAGAGAGTGAGACGAGCGAAATGGAGAGGAACACAGGACAAGAGAAGGATGTCAGATGGAGTCAAACATCTGCAGACATTTGTTGAAACAAAGTTACAGAAGTTGTTTTAAAATCATTAAGTTGAGCTTTAATTTCAGGCAGTTGTGCAGCGGTTTTGTGGCCAGACAAAACAAAATAACAAACACACCCTCATAAGCCTCGTATGTTGGCAGAATGAGCACAACTGTTGGAAAGCCATCCGATTAAACCCGGACAGGCTTTAAGTAAATAACATTAAAATAACAATGAGTCATCCTTCAATTGATGGGGAACTGATTTTTCTTCCACTTTAAGAGACAGGAGTGTCTTCTGTAGAGGACATGACACACCTTTGTATGGCAACAATCTGACTGATCAGCATTACTCAGCTCAGGAAACCAGACAACAATAATTGAGTTCATTTTGAGAATAGCATTTGAATGAGCTGTCAACATATTTCCCTTCTTCATTCATCAATAGTTTTGACAGTTTAGACGAGAGCATGATTGTGATGAACTCCTCAGATCCACGACGATCCTGCAGTGGATGACCGTGATGAGTTTCAATGTGCTGTAAAGCACCACCTGCTTGGGGATTGTGCCTAAACGTGTGTGGCTGCGTGTGTACGTGTCTCATGTGTGTCACAACCAGGAACAGGTTTTAGCTCAAATCCCCTCTCGCTTGTGCTGTAAATATAAATACAAGAGATTAGTGGCGGATTTGGAATGGTGAGTTGAGCGGGGAACAGTATTTGGAGCAGGCTGAGCACCACGGCACCGTGAATGGTTCAGAGGTTCAGAGGAGAGCGTGCCAGGGAAGAAAGGTGTCCTTCATATAATGTGGACAAAGACACTTCCCGACTGAGGCAACATGCTGCTACATATCATCCAGTTTTTATTTTTAATGCACACCAGATTACACAAGGATCTCACATTGAGAGGAAAGTACAGTAGGAGGTCCCCCATTTAACAATGCATGTAATGCACATGTTCCCCTCACCAAAGCATAAACTACTTTTATTAGAATCAGGGATGTCCTGTCCTCGTCCTCTGTCTCCGTTCACCTTTCTGCCTATAGTTAGGGCTGGCTCAGGTTAGCCCGGACCAGCCCTTAGTTAAGCTGCTATAGGCTTAAACTGCCGGGGGACTTCTTAGGACACACCGAGCTCCTCTCTCACGCTCTCGTTCTACAATAATTCACGTTTTATTAAGGCACATGACTAATTCAGCTTCTTTCCGGGAGTTTTTTGTGCTTTCTCCCCTGGCAGGTCTCCGTAGATCGTAGTTCCTTCTGGACCCTGGTCCTGACACCTGCCGTGGCCCTGCTGATGCCTGCTGCTGCCATCATCATCATCATTATTATTTTAGATATTAATCATATCACTGTACTCGTAAACCAACATTACCCTCTCCTAAAGTCTCTGTGCTCTCCCTCCCCACAGGCTTCTGTGGATGGTGGTTCTATCTGATGGTGGTTCTATCTGATGGTGGTTGCCCCTGTAGTGGTCCTGCTGTGCGCCTGGCTTACTACTCACAATTACTTGAATCATTTCTGTCATAGGAATTGCATGTATTATACATTGTTCATTCTGTACACATGGCATCCATTGTAGTCTGTCCATCCCGGGAGTGGGATCCCTCCTCTGACGTTCTCCCTAAGGATTCTTCCCTTTTTTCCCTCTTGGAAGGGTTTTGTCATTTTTTGGGGAGTTTTTCCTGTGCCGATGGTGGGTTTCGGGACAGAGGATGTCGTATGTGTACAGACTGTAAAGCCTTCTGAGGCAAATTTGAGATTTGCGATTTTGGGCAATACAAAATAAAATGAATTGAATTGAATTGAATTGTTCACGGCACAATCAATCTTTGGCTGGATCACATGAGGCCTTAGATGTCTGCAAGGGTCGGTGAAGATGTGTTTGCAATTGGCTGTACATTTTTTTTGTGCTCACTACAAACCTGATAACCCAACTGAACGTGATGTCACACTTTAACTCTTTTCGTGCAACAACTTTCTTTCAACCCGTCTTCTTCTACATTCTACATCTACATTCTTTGGTTATTTTAAGCCTATGACTTGTTGAGAGGTGACAGGTGAGTTTTTCAGTTAACAAAAGCTTTGTTTATATTTAGAAGGTCTGTATCCTGTAGTTAAGGGAAGCAGACTTACAGAAATCCAACACAAGAGCTCCACAAAAAACACAGCTGAAAAGTAAAAACTATTTGATGAAAGTGTAGACATACTCATAAACGGTTGCATTTACTGCACAGCTTTGCACCGCCCTCTTTGAGGAGATACTGAGATCAGATAGAATCTGATAACTGTGTGTTATCAGAAGCATCACATTCATCACTGCCAGTCTGTCTCAGAAAAACAGGTAAGACAACAGTGGCGTCAGGAGACAGAGCTCGCATTCACACGTCTCAACCCTATTTAAATGTTTCTGTGCTAAAGAATTATCTGTGATTATGGAAAATAAAAAGGTTGACAAGTGCTGTACAGATAAAAGAGGAATGGAGGCCAATAAATATATGAAGCGCGACTCTAAATCATTAAAAGCACGCCTGTGTTTTAGAAGCACACGTGAACAAGTTGTATCGTGATAAACAGACGTAAAAGAGTTTGTCTGGAAGTGGTGGTGAGGATAATATTTGAAAGGTGTGGAAACCAGCAGTTGTTGCCATTCATTGTGTATGTATACATGTTTAAGTGCATGATCTATGAACGTCTGAAAAGTCCCAGACTTTGACCTTTGTGATATTTAAACATGTTGCACAAACAGCATCCTCCATATTTGATGAATTCTTATAGTTGCCAGAAAAATATATTTTAACCTCTGACTGAGTTTGCAGGGCTTGTTCTGCAAAGCAAATGTACCCGTCTGCCTCTCTGCTTCCCTTCACCACTGTTGCTGTGGTTACATAAAAAGTTGGACCGCAGCTATGAGACGGAACGTTTACTCTCGGAGCTGCAGGTGCTGTCATGTGCTTGTTCGTAAAACAAGAGACACAAAGACGTCGAAGGACTTTGCCAATACACAACAGGGATTCTCTCTGGCACTTAATCAAATGGCAAATTACTAATGATGCTGCGTAGTTAGGAAACATCAAACCTGCAGTAGATACCGGTGCTTTTACGGTTGGATAACACTGATTTACGTGGACGCGCCCAATTGCATTTTGTAGTCTTTCAGTAGGCGTGAGAGGATCAATAAAACAAGATGCCTGTCACTGTAAATATAAACAGTGACAGTTCCAGTGACAGATTCTGGTGACAGAACAATTCCTGTGATTCTGGTGACAGAATCACAGGAATTGTTTTACGAAACTGCTTCACTGACGAGGAAAAGGGAACCGACTATTTTCACTTCAGGTCTGCCAGGGGACATAAAGACCTGAAATGACAACTGAAAGAGGATCTGTGACTCTGGGTCATCGGGGGGGGGGGGGGATCCTTTGGCTCCCTTTGGCACCGTCCCCTTCAGGGTCAGCGGCTATCAATACAGTTTGAGCGGGCGGTTGGTCTCAATCTCGTCTCGGTTTTTCTTCTCCGCTCAGAGAGGCGGGAAAAAAAAAAATCTCTGGCACGGAGGAGGTTGCGGGCTAAGAGTGGAGGGATCAGACCCCGGCTCGCTGCACGACGTGCACCCTCTGTTACTTCCTTCGCCCAGAGATGACGCCAATGGCCCGAGTGAGTGCTTTGACCGGCCAACTGATGCTCGGGCCCCCGCCGCGCCGCTTTGCTCCCTCGACAGGGCGGCTCCAGGCAGGCCAGCGGAGCGTGTGTGCTGTGGCACTGACACGCGGTACATTACATCATCAGTAGACACAGATAGAAGATACAGGATGACTCTGTAAAACTGTCTGAAAGGCCCGGTGAGTGTAATAACTCACCACTTTAAAGGCTCACGACGTGAAGCTAAACTCAATTCATTGCACATTTTCTCCTTGGTGTCACCGTATCACACGGACGAGAGATTGATGCCCACCTGATCGCAGATGAGCTCCCACTTCTTCTCGTTGTCATACTGACGCAACAGTCGCGCTTTGTCCGGAGGAAGATTCATCGAGCTCTGAAAGCGAGAAAAAAAGATCAAGAGTTAATTGGGTGTGGATAATGAAACCGCTTCCGTCACGTGAGTCCGTTAAAAATCGATTAACTAAAAAAAGCAATGAGGCACACACACACAGGAGGGAAAGGGACGCAAGAGAGTTGTCCATCATTATTATTGAGATGCGTGTTTCTTCAACTGGTATAAAAAGAGAGCTGATCTGCTCAAACATTTTTCATTTACATTCACAATGTCTGAGAATCCACAGCAAGAGATTTAATGGAGAACCAGACAATGGCACATGAACTGATGTCTGGGTTCCTCTGCTTAGATATTATCTTCTCATTCAACACTGATATGTATAGATTAGAGAAATAGTAAGCGAAAGGTTCCACGGTATTCTAAATTGTTTCTTCCTGTCTGGAGCGAGAACATATAAAGCGTTAGTTTTTAAGTTACAGTTCCACGTCGTTGATTTTTCAATGAACAACTTCTTACTTCTCTTTTGTTCTTTTACTTATTGTGTTTATTATCCAACAGTCAAGGATTCAAAATCCAAAACCTTAAAACATCTTGATAACATGATAACAAGATTTTTCCATTTCCCTCAGCCCAGTTACCAAATATATTGTTCACACGAAAGCCCCTAATGAGACAATCCCAAAATATCTGCGGAGGAAGCCTTACAACAGAGCTGGGAAAAGGAGGCGTCTCCTTAATGAGGGTTCAGTTGTGACACGGACGCAGAGAGGAGAAACCTCTAAGCTCTGTCGTCTGAGTCAAGGCTTTGAATTTGACAACCGGGCCATCGAGTTTGACCCCCGGCATAGAATAACTGCATCACATGTACCTGGCAGTCACTTAACCGCCGTCAGATTAGCAGCAATCCCGAACCGGTGCACTTAAGAGAGAATGAGAGCGCGAGTCAGTGAGTGAAAAACGACTGGGTTGGAAGTATAATATGGGCGAATGTTTGTCGCCGCTGTACTTTAAAACCGGTTTCCTTTTCTTATTCTTCTGATCATGACAAACACTGTATTCCTCTTTCATCACGTGCAGCAATTGCCTAAAGAGTGGGTAGTTCAGGACAAACCTAATCCGGCCCATGTGTCTGGAAATAAACCCCGATCGTCCCAAAAAAAGTGTTACGCAACTGGTTTCTTTATCCTCTGTGATTCACCGCGCCCGAGTGTGAATCAAAAGAAGCATGAAAAAATTAACCGGCACTTAAATCGCATCGCCTACAGCACGGAGAGGACCAGCAAATATGTCAGCAGAAAGATTTCACATAGACAATGTATATTAAAAACATGTAAATGTGTGTGTGTGTGTGTGCTTCGCCGGCTAAAAAGATGTTGAGTCAAGGCTACAAACGCCAAGTCTTTTATTTGTGTCCTTCATCTGCAGTTTTTCAGCTTTAAAAGACGTGGCTTTATTGAGAATGTTTCCACTGCTGCAGAGTAGAAATAAAAAGAGGGTGAAACGGAGCCACCCAGCCCTCCTCGGCTTGGGGTTCCTTTCCTCTCCACATGCGGTGTGCTGGGTCATTTATCAGTGTGCATTCAGTGCTCACACTCACACTTTTCCTCCCCTGGACTCTCAGGGTGGGGGGGGGACGAGAGGAAGATGGATGAGGAGCAGACTGGTCGCCCGCCTATTTCCATGAGCAATTAATACCAGCGTCGAGTGTGACACTGACGGAGCGGCCCGATCCGCAACTTTCTTAGGAGTTCATTTTTCATACCGCGTATTATCATATGGCTCCGCTGTTGATCCATGCAATCATCCATCATTTTAAGAGAGTGCATTTGTAAAAGTAAATCAATGCAGAGAAAATGTTGGGGAGGCACAGGGGAGGGGGGGCAGTTTAGGATTAAAAGTTAACCTGGTTTGTAGACTTTTAAGCTAACTGATAATGACACGATATTTATTATGTATGTGTTTGCTGTTTCCCCAAAGACACTGATGAAGCCAACTTAATGTCCTCCACAGCTTTTCTAATATATCTGCAGAATGAATTTCGATCCTAATAAAAGAGTACAATTTGCTTAAAATATCTATTGATGTCCTTAGCTGCACCAAAATCAATTTAAAGCACAGCAATTGTGTCTTATTTGGCAGAAGCGAACGGGTGTAGCCGCCCCGTCTCTTCTGCGAGAGCGAGCAGGAAACGGCATTAGTATTCAGCCGATGCTGCCAGACGGCTGATTGCTGCTGTGCTGACTGCAAGGAACTGGGCTCTATTGACTCAGTCTGGATGCAAAGCCATGTGACAGGCGCTTACAACCCACTTTCCTTCTCTCAACCAATTAAAACACAATCTGACACCTGAGTACAACGTGAAATTTAATGACTGAGCGCCACCAACGGTCTCACTGCATTACACTAAAAGTTACACTAAGAGTTATTTCTAGACGTCTGTGTTATGCTTGGATATCGGACAGCTGTTGGCCCGGAGACAGATGGTTTGAGGTGGTGATGGAGGTGCTGCATTTAGGTGGTGGTTTGCAGAGTCGCTGTGGGCGCACTGAGCATAACGGTCTTCCTGCTTGGTGAGGCTCCAACTAAAGCAAAGAGCTTCACTTCTCTCAGCCTTCACTCCTCCCCGACGCTAATGAGCTGTGACAGGCTCTCCGCTCGCCGGCGTCCAGTTAGCCTGCGTCGAAATATGTGCCCGCTCCCGTGTGGCATTAACGCGGTCATGTTCAAGAGGGAGTGGCAGCTTTTCACCGACACCTGACGGCACGCAGTGACCGGGGACGAGATATGTAGTACGTCAGTATTGTTCTCAAACAAACAAGCCGTAAACACCGGATCTGATCAATATTAATTGATTAATATATGTATTTAACTCTAATTTATGGTAGTGGGCGACCAAGCCTCTCTCTGTGTAATGTGGGGTCTCAACACGCCCACATCTCCAACCTGACGTGTCATCTCCAGAGCAGCTGTGCACACATCTGTACCGCTAGGGAGTGAACTTCTTTGGGAATCAACAGAGTATGCGCTGGGACAGGAATCCTACCTTTGGACTCTAAGCAACTCCATGCTACAGTTTAGGTCAAAGAAACCTGAAGATCATTAAACCTTAAAGAGATCAACGTAAGCGATCACGTGTCACCGCTCCAAAGGAGTCACACGTGTGAATACTACATCAGACAGCTGCTGCTCGGATCAATAAACGTAAATGTTTAACTTGCTTCGGGGCAACAGGGCTGTGACATATGCACTGAACTTATGGGAGCGCGCGTATCCTCCCATTCAGCCGTTTGCGTCGTTAAAAAAGAAAAAAAGTAAAAATAGACGGCGTCGGCTCAAAGCCCACCACCTTCCAGGAGGTCTGCGGAGGCACAGCCTTCACGGCACAGCTGCCTATGAAAGCAAACACAAGAGGCCACATGGAGGACCTGCTTGAGGTGCCCTCGCTGTGAAAAGATGTAGACTATGTTAACAAAAACAGAGAAGCTCTCTCATTTGTAGTCTGAACGGAATATTCTACCAGGATCCGTGTGTAAACAGACCCGATCCCAAGCCGCTACAACCTTGCAAGATGAGTCCAGTCACGCTTGTACACGGTCGTTCCCGCTGTCCCACTTTTCTGGGAAAACTGTTGCCATAGTAACTAAGAGCAAGCCGTCAAATGGCTCACACGATCGGTACACACTGAATGCACGAGCCAAAAAGTTAGAGCCAAGTACTAAAAGAGTAAGGAATCCATTATTCATGCACGGCTCCAAGGAGAATGAAGAATCTGCAAAACTATATCGAAGTACCTTTGAGATAAACTAGTGTTTCTTGCCTTTATTTACTTGTACTCATCAAGGATTTACTTCAATTTCTTTTTTTCCCCCAAGAATCTGCCTTCACCAGGGAGGCATCCCAAAAACATGTTTTTGGAGAATTCAAAAATGCCGTAAGGATGCACTATGCTAATTGTTCAGGTTGCTGAACACACGTTTTTGATCTGCTGCCTCTCATCTTTTAGCACGCCGTGTGACTCATAGTAAGAAAACTCATCACTAGGAATAATAATAAGTGGGTTTTTTAGGTGGAATTGCAATTAACGTGATGTGTTGATGCCATAACGCAAAGTCAAGCATCGGCGGTGAAAGTGAGCGAGTGAATGAGTTATTTAGCTCCTGTTTCACACCCCATTAGATGGCCTTTTAGTTCCAACATAATCGAAAGACCAAACAATTATGGCAAGAGATTTGGGTGATTGAAAACAGTTCTCTGTTTATCATGTTAACTGTGTTATTCACATCAACAGGACAGAGAGAGACAATATAGGTCGCAGTGCTGCGTCTCTCTTTCAGTTGATTTGGGCTACAATGAGCTTGAGGAACACCCGCGATCTCCTCTTTCTTTTTCTCCTCTAATGCACCACGAGGAGAAAGAAGCTCCGATCCTTCAGACGGTCAGCAGACGCAGTACTATATTTTCTCCGGATTCGGAGGAAAATCCCGCCGGTGACCTCAAGAGATCACATTTCTTCCTGTTATCAACACCCAGATTGCGTCATTCAAAACAACGCTCCAACCGCTCATGTAGCGCTGTTCTCTCTGAGAGCACAGCTGTGGTTTTAAATGAGCATTAGAGGCAAAGAACAACAGGCCACAACAAGAAAACATCGGACTGCATCATTGATTGCGGACTAGTCATAGCATATATTTTCAAATTGCTCAATACTACGGAAATGACTGACTGTTCTCTCCCAATTCTTGCTTCATTGGTCCCTGGGGTGTTTTATGTTTCCAGGGCATTTACACAGTTATAATGAGGTTGTTGCTGCAGGCCAGCCTGAGCCGTAAAACACCTCCACAGGTGTACCAACGACGCTTCTCTCTTCTCGTTTCAACTGCAGGGAAGCCGAGGAGCTCTGCAGCTCACACATAGAAGAATCATGTCCACGATTGGGCGGTAACTGTCTCCATCAGGGGGAGAAGGACGTCCCCGGGGCCCTGTGCCATCCCAACCGAGTCGTCCTCCCCTCGTTAGCGCAGCGTGGATCCGTAATCCCT